CAGGGACTGTTCAAGTTCTTATGATATGGGCTAGACTGGATGGAAAATAGTGCTGAAGTAAAAAGCAGCAATTATTTGAGCATAGGGCTAAAGAGCAACTATGGATTTTGCTGGAGAAATAAATTTATTTCAATAGATTGATTAACTGTTAGTGCTAAATGCAAAAACCATTACTGGTTGGTTTATTTTTGAGCATTGTATTTATGTATGCACTTCATCTTTGCTGCTGTGCCTTCTTGAGATTCAGGTTACGTTTGAATGCAGACTTTGTAAGCTTATTAATAATCACCCAATCTAGAGAAAAAGTGGTCAGGGAAATAATTTTCAATAAATATTCTAAAACTCCTTATAGGGGACCGCAAAGAGCAGTTGAACTTATTGTGAAGTACATTTCAGAACAACAGGAATGGATTAAGCATTTCTTCTAAGTAGAAATCATGACTTCTTCCTTGTCCATTGGAAGAAACTTCTCCTGTTTAGTAATTCATTAACTTTATATAATGTACATCTTTAATAGATATTTCACTGTAATAATAATGATATGCCATTGGCAAGAATAATATAGACCATGGGGAATAATATATAATACTTAGGCACAATAATTTATATTTCAACTCATATATCTTAAGGCTGTTGATATATCTGCCTCGTCTTGGCTGAGCATTCTAGGTAAGTATATTCTCTATTAAATGTGTAATTTCCTAATTTTATGCCTAAAAAACAAATAATCCATTATCCCTTTGGTGGTCGAACCTAACAAGTAGTCACATATTAGTGATCAAAGAGTGATGCTCTTTATCCATTCAGAACGGAACCTTAGCTGGTACCTGCCTACATAACTTATTTGCTGCTAGCCCCATCTGCAGCTATGCTTGTAGGGACTTTTGAACAATAACTAAATAGGGTAGTTGTTAAGAGAGTACTACCTGTATATATGTAATCTAGAAATTTTTGTGAAAACAAAAAGCATGGAATTCAGAACAAAGTAGCTTTGAAAACAATTCAATGGCACATAAATCCTGGTGATTGCATGTACAGTAGTTTTCTTGTCAAAAGTGGACACAATTTGCCAATTGCCTTTTTTGCAGAAAGTTTTTTTCAAAAGTGTTTTTTTCAAGAGGCAACTGGACTTTTTGGTTTTTCTTTGAAGACGTTTCGCTTCTCATCCAAGAAGCCTCTTCATCTCTGACTGGATGGCGGGGAATGGAAAGATTTATATTCCTTTATACAGCATTTATACATTTATACTGCTCCCTAGTTTTGTTTATGGTCCTAGTAGCCTCCTATCCAATTACTACCTCAGCCTGATCCTACTTAGCTCCTGAGCACTGATGAAATCAGCTAAATCTGATGAAAAAGCATAAAGAACGTCTTTAGAATAAGGTTAAGGGAATTTTTCTCCAGGAGACTGAGAGAGAGTTCATTTTCGTTGTAAGTCTCTATTTGCAATTGGATAATTTGAAATGTTATGATATTTTGATACTTCTTAAAAAGTATTTGCTTAATGGATGAACTAACTGTTCAGGTTAGCTAGTTTTCTCTGAAAGGGAAATACTGTACTTAGTGTCATCATTCTTCTTGAGTTCCCAAGTGATACTGCTTGGCAACAGCAACAACAGCCCAAATTGAAGTCAATACTTGGTAAGAGAATGCATCCTGTAGTTGCTAAATAGCTCTCAAATGTTTTTGCCACTTTTGTAGCCGTACACTAATATAGCTAAATCTTTTTCTGTGATCTGAAGTCAAGTAATTATAATTATTTATTTTAAGTATCTTATTTCTGTATAGTTTTGCAATGCAATGCCAATAAACTGCAGTGAAACTGAATTCTGGGTTACATTCACAAAGACATGTTATTTCATACTTCAATATAAAAAGCAACTATTGTTATATAACCAAATTGAAATAATTTCCTGAACTTCAGTCAGTAATGGTTTTGATTATATGAATGTTAGATTTCCTTTAGATGTACCTTTAAAGCAAATGCTATCATAATAGGGTTCAACAGTTATTTATTTCCCTTTTAGTAGAGATAATTGGTGCTATTTTAAAGCATAGTCAAGATTTTATCTATTCATTACATTTCCATTTTATTAATTGTGGATAAATTCTTGACAGAGTCTGACTTAGAAACACTTCACATACTACAGAACACCATTTCAAATGACAGTGGTTATTGGGAATAGAAGATACATTGATCTCTTCTGGATGCGCATATTTTGCCTTATTAAACTAGAATCAGAGGTGAAATCTACTTACCTTCCTTACTGGTTTGGAAGTGCACACACCGTGAGCAATGCTCACGTATGCACGTGCAGACCCTCTGCGCATGTGCAAAACTTGTGCATGCGCAGAGGGTAAAAAACACATTACTTCCTGGTTAAAACCAGGAAGTAATGACACCTGGGCAGGTGGGTGGAGCCTCGCATCGCCATCGCTACCGGTTCTCCGAACTACCTGCCATAATCGCTACCAGATCACCTGATCCGGTCCAAAATGGAAGCATTTCATCCCTGGCTAGAATGGCTTTCATTGATCACGATTTCTTGATGCAGATAAAACACAAAACTGAACCCGATAGTTTCTAATTTAACTGAGCTCATGGCATGGATTTTCAGGCATAGCAAAACATTTATTCATACCCTATTGGGCCATTACATTGATATAATAAATGGAGATAATTACATCATTTTGAGATTTTCATAAAGCGAAAATCCTAATTTTCATGCAGTTTTGTGATAGTATGTAGTGTAGATGGAATTTGTCTACTGTCTACTGTTAAACTACATTTAACTCATTCGACTCAGGCTCAACCCATCCAAGACCGAGTGGCTGTGGTTTCCGGCGTCCCGATATAGTCATTATCTTAGTGTTTAAAAGCTTCATACTGAAATGAAGTCTCTCTTATCTTATTAAATTTTATGTCCTGACAGGAAATATATTTAAGTATCATGATCTGATTCTATTATTTCATTGTAATGTAAAAACTGAACCATATATTTATAGGATATTAGAAAGCAAATACTCAATATATTTCTTAATATAATCATAATGATGATTCCAGCAAATTATATTTATTATTTGATAACTTTTTGTTGTTATATACAGAGTTGCTCTATAAGAGAGATGGACAGTCTATTAATTTGATTGATTAAATCCCATGTAAAAATAATGAAAGGGAATGTTAGCTTCTCTTTTGGCACAGGACCATAGTTGAGTAATGTCTACGTCTTCAAGCTTTGCTTCCTTGCTTTCCAGTCTAACCTGCTTGTTGTCTAGTTTACTGCCAGCTCTTTAGCCTGGATCAGTAGGAGACAGTCTTGATAATGACTGGATCTGTACTTTATTAGCTTAGGCTATAAGGGCAGAATCCTGAAAGCCAGACGGTGTTTTCCTTTCCCTTCCTCCTATAACTCAAGTATTTAAGGCAAAGTCAGTTTGAGTCTCTTTCAAAACTTTTCTTTGTCTCCCAGACTTTAAAAAATGATTTTGTAATACTGTTTTTCCAAAGTCATCTCTGTGATTCTTTGCCTCTTCAGATTAATTTCTTTCATTTTGTTTGTCTAGTTTTTGTTTCTCTTCAGTTCAATTATTGTCTTTTGGTGCTAGTTTGCTTTTATGAGTACATAAATTAAGTACAAACAATATTGAGGAAGAGTTCTGGAAGAAATACGTAGAAGATCCACTTTAACAATTTTAACCAAACCTTATTGTACCCAAATAACTTCTGGTGGCACAAAGTGCCACATATAACCTTCATCTGCTATGATCATTGCAACCCCATTCTGGCAAAGAAAGTATGATCATACATCCATGGTCTGAACATCTTGTTCAGATCTTTTGAGTTATCTCTCAGTTTTATGATATCATCACATAATAAAATTATTAGTTGTAGTGACATTCTGGTCTTGTGATTGCTGACAGCTAAGATAACATTATAGTAGGAATCCTTTTCTAAGAACTTTATGCTAAAGTTTCTGTTTTAGACAATGGGGACAAAAAAGCACAAAACCAAAAAATCACTTTAAAACATTGCAAAGAACATGTGATGCTTATAAAAGGCTTATCTGTTTACTGAGTTTGCCATGAAAATTCTTATTTAAGACACAGAGTGTGTCATTCAAATACATTGAAATGTTTCTCGGTGATAATTCCATATAGTGTAAAGTAGAAAATTGGAAAATTTAGCATTTCCTAATTCAATTGGCTGATTTAATTAACTGAATTAAACAACATTTTGCCCAGTAAAGGACACCTTTTAACTCCAATTTTCAATTTCAGTGTCTTTTAATTCTTTATTAATTATGCTATAGTTAGAAGGTTTGAGGGACGTGGTGGCTCAGTGGCTAAGATGCTGAGCTTGTCGATCGAAAGGTCGGCAGTTCAGCGGTTCAAATCCCTAGTGTTGTGTAATGGGGTGAGCTCCCGTTAACTGTCCCAGCTTCTGCCAACCTAGCAGTTCAAAAGCACGTAAAAAATGCAAATAGAAAAATAGGGATCACCTTTGGTGGGAAGGTAACAGCATTCTGTGCGCATTTGATGTTTAGTCATGCCAGCCACATAACAATGGAGACGCCTTTGGACAGCGCTTGCTCTTTGGCTTTGAAAAGAAATGAGCACTGCCCCCTAGAGTCGGGAACAACCAGCACATATGTGTGAGGGGAACCTTTGCCTTTACCTAGTTAGAAGGTTATCTTGTATTGTTGCAGAATAAAATAATACATTGCAGAATAAAAGCTTGTGTTGCTTTTTTCCAGTGGTTAGGGTTCAAAGTGTGTTTTTGGACATAATATTTTACTATGCTTTTCTAATAAAGATGTTATAGTTTAACAGAATAAATCTTAAAACTCTGTAGAAACAGCTAGAGAATCCCCTTTTGTCTAGATAAAGTCAATAAAGTTTTAAGATTATGATTTACTGTAATTTTTCAATATGATTAGTTTTGACAAAACCTTACTAAAATTTTTCAGTAGAATTGGAATACTGTTTTTTTCTTTCAGACTTAACATGCTACTGATCTTCATCCCAAGTTATTGAAAAGACATAAAAGAAGCACACTTGTTAGTATCAACATGGGAAATACAACTACTAAGTTCCGCAAAGCACTTATCAATGGGGATGAAAATTTGGCCTGCCAAATATATGAGAGCAACCCTCAATTAAAAGAATCTCTGGATCCTAATATTTCTTATGGAGAACCTTACCAGCACAATACTCCATTACATTATGCTGCTAGGCATGGGATGAATCGAATATTGGGGTGAGCATTATAGACGTACGTTTTCATCTTGCTTCAGTGAGACACACAATAAGATTGCATTATTACCAGATGGTTCCTACATGATTTTATTTTTGAAGTGGAAATGTAATTTCATAAAGCATGGACAGTACTGATTAGGATTTCTGCCAGACCCAAATAAACGAAATGAACACAATGAAATGTATCAATAGGATGCAGGGAAGCAGGGAAGAGTCTCCTGGCAACATAATATTCTGTTCATTTAAAATGTCAAGTGGAAGGCTATTTCCGTATTTTTCATTTAGCTAACTGGATTGCAGTATATGCTTAGATACAAAACCATAATGTTTTATTTTGTTGCGAATTAGTAATAAGCCAAAGTTTTAGGGCATTAAGCACTGTTTGAAAACATCATTTGCTCTTCGGTTCTTGACTGTAGTTGTAGCTTAGTGAGATGGTCAATGAAATGACTTGCTTGATTTCTGAAATTGTGGATAATTCTTGGCTTGGTCTTGTGCCTTATGCAATATCTATCTTAATTCACAAAAAGGCAAGGCAAGGACATCTAAAAATCAAGGACAAAGGTGAAAAATGTGAAATTAGCCAAAGAAGCGATGATAGCTTTGCTCTTTGCTTTTGATTCTGGCTTTTTATATCTTATTCAGCAACAACCTATAGCTTGTTATAATATGTAAACATATCACTTAAACATACTAAAATTACAACTTGTTTTATATCTCTAAAGAGGTGAAATAAGTGTTTGATGGACCTTGAGCATTTTGTTCTAAAATGGGAGAAAATTATTTTTTACATTTTTCTGTCCTTGCAGAAGTATTTTGTACAGCCATGATCAAGAGATGCTTTATAGATTTTCGTCTTATATTTGTATGCATATATTTCTTTTGATATGCAGTTGTAGCATTTTGGTTGGTTGCTATAATAATATGTAATTGGTTATTCACAACTGCCACTTTTCAGTAAAAGACCAAAATCCCTATTAAAAATCTGGAAGTGTAATAATTATTTCATTTTTCTTCTTGTGAACTGTCTCACACAGGTCAGAACTGTATGTAAAATTTTCTCTTTAATGATTTCACTATTTTAATTATCCTGGAACAATCACATTAATAAAAAGTTCAGTACTTATTTTAATTACATGTCTTAGCAAAAGAATTCAAGATTATTGAATTATTTTGTTTTCTCTGAAATATTTTCAACTCAGTAGCATAGGAAAAATATAATTCAGAGTTGCTTAAAATTCAGAGTAGTAAAAATTGTCTTCCAAATTACATAATTATTTTCTTTATATAGGACTTTTCTTTTTGTGAGAGATGGGAACCCAAATAAACGAAATGTGCACAATGAAACTTCTATGCACTTGCTTTGTATGGGACCTCAGATTATGATTTCTGATGGAGCTCTTCAACCTCGCTTGACAAGACCTTTTGAAGATGATTTCAGAAGAGCAGATTGTCTACAGATGATTTTAAAATGGAAAGGGGCAAAGCTTGATCAAGGAGAATATGAAAGAGCTGCCATTGATGCTGTTGATAACAAAAAAAATACATCTTTGCACTATGCTGCTGCCTCAGGAATGAAGACTTGTGTAGAGGTAAAAATTCATATATAGGTAGTCCTTGACTTATGACCACAGTTGGGACCAGAGTTTCCTTTGCTAAGCAAGGTGGTTGTTAAATAAGTGATGCCTGATTTTACAGTCTTTGTTGCTATGCTTGTTGAGCAAATCATTGTAGTTGTGAATCTTGTTGTTATGTGAATCAGCTTTACCCATTAACTTTGCTTTTTGGAAACCAGTTGGGAAGGTGATGATCACATGACCCCTGGTCTTTGCAACTGTTACAAATATACTCCACTGGTCAAGAGTCAACTGGGCATATTGTGACAATTATAAGTGTGAAGACCAGTCATAAGTCAATATTTTCAGTGCTGTTGTAACTTCAAATAGTCACTAAATTGAGGACTACCTGTAAATACTTGCTGAAGTGAATAAAAAACATATACTTGGCACAAAAGATAGGCAATGTAATAAATTATCAGGCAATGTTAATAATTTAAGAGTATTAAAGAAAGCACTAAAGAAATGCTACACAAGAACTGTGTTTTATATTACATTTTTATACATTTATATCCTGCTTTTCTTCTGTGGTAGAATTACAGGTAATGCTCCTCAAACTTGGAATGGGGCTCCATTCAGTCGCTGTTTAACTTCAACAGATTTGCTTCATCAAGCACAGTAGCTATTCTTAAAATACCTTATGGCATTCCATATGTTCTACTATCTTAGTTGTAGAAGTGTAACCTCTGAATTTAAACTTAAATATCAATTTTGAAATGATTCTTCAAGTTGCATAGTTACCATGGAGAAGCAGACCTAGAATTTCTTGTTACGTTACACTGATGTCATTTCTTTATCGATTAGGTTTTCTTAGCCAGGGTGAGAGACCTAAGACCTGAAAAGGGTCAAGATTTCAGTCTGATCACAAGATTTTTAAGGCTAAATTTCTATAATGATCTTTATGTGAGAATCACTTGAAAAAAGCAGAAAGATCCTGTTTATGTAAAAGATAATGCCAAGCACTATTATTTGCCAATTATTTGCCTGTGGAAAAAAGTGGTGATGCTAAAAATAATGTTTGACTAAAAGTAAAATTGTAGAAGGAAAACTGAGTGGTGGCAGCTACAGATTACATGCGTTAGCGTTTAAACTGCTATTACTATTAGGCATTTGTTTCTTTATTCATGTCAGAAGCATCACAATTAAAATAAGGCATACTATATGACATAAAATTTAAAATATAAGATACCAGGTTAAAATATGTACTAGTTAAACAGATCTTGCCCTGAAACTAGCAAAATTAATTGCATAGAAATGAGCACCTCATTATACTTTGGATGCTTCAGGTATTGAAAGGATTAGCCAGCTATAAACTGTTGCCCAGGGGACACCTAAATGTATTAACAGCAGGTGGAGGATCCTTTCATGTCCCCGACTACTAGAGTAATTACAGCTTTTAAGTTTGAGCATAAGTATGACGTGAATGATACATGTAGCATGTTTGATACATATATATCGGTGATCTGCTGGAGAAGATCAACCCTTAGTTGCAATGCATGAAGTTTCTTGATGCTTTTATTGAATAAAGGTTAGAGCACCATTTAATCTAATATTAAATACTGGATCCATTCACATGTAGTATGAATGCTAAATAATTTTCTGCAGAAAAAGGGCACTTGGGATTTTCAAAATTAGCATGGCAATCTTGGAATTAACTAATTTTTATATATTTTTGAAACAAAGAATTGTACAAATGTTCATTGATAATTCTTTTTCACAGTCTGCACTGTAGGAGAAAGAAAAAATAACTGGCATATGACCCAATAGCTAGTGGTTCCTAGAAGTTAATTGCTTGTTGGCACTTATATGAAGCAAGCTGATAAAGAAAGCATTCCTTAGCAGGGGGAAGGCTTTGATCTAGGTTGAAAGGAAAAAGGGAGTTTAACTAAAGTTAGAGCCTCCAATTTCCGTATTCCTGTTTCCTATCTAATAATGAGTGTTTTCACAAGGGAAAAAGTTGGGGAGTGAAGGTAAATCCAAGGTTATCTAAAATCCCCTTTCCATTCCATCACCTTATTCATGAAGAGAGTATATCCTTCAAAAAGGTTACTGATTGCTCAGAAATTACATCAAGTGCCAAACTTGGCACTTAGGCAGATTTCTGAGATGGTTAATTTCCCCTTTTCTCCCCTTTTAGATTTTGGTAATCTAAGTCAGATCTGCCCTTTTATGCATAGTGAAATTGTGGAGATCTGGCATTTAATAGCAGCTCAGGAGCCCCTGGAATCCAAATATCTGATTCTGGCTCTTATAAAGGTGTGGAATCTCCTTTCCCCAAGAGCACCTACCATACCTACTTTGCCCATTGCAATCAAGCTCCTGTTCCTCCATGACCTTCTCCTAGCTAATAATTTTCTCTCTCCCAAGGAAATCTGATAAAGGAACACTCAGTCTTAGATCATCTGCTTAGATGCCATACAGAGGCAGGTTTCAAAACCCATCGCTACCGGTTTGCTTGTGGGTATGTGCCCGAGCGCACACAGAAGCATCTGGGTGGATGAGCAGAGCCTCCTGCTGCCGCTACTGGTTTTCCCGATCTGGTAGCAACCCACCACTGGTGCCATATCTTGCTCTCACCAAAAACAGGAAGCTCTAACAAAAATTGGAAATTTGAAGCCTTTGCTGTCACTCAGGAAACAAGCCAAGATCCCAAAGTCCAAACCCAGTGCTGTCTCCAAAGTCTCTTGCAAGGAGCAGTTCATAGGACATTAAGGCAGATGTACAGTAGTTCAGCAAGGACATTGTCCCAGATCACATTCCAGGCTATAATAAAAAGGATTAAGCTTCCAGAAACATTCTTCCAAACCATTTTCCTGAATAATCCAGATGAATTAAAAAGTCAATAGATTAAAAAAAAAAAGCCAGTGGAGCCAATGCTATGTCAATAGCTGCCAATAAAAACCTTTTGCTTTCTTAAAGCTCTTGCTTGTTTCCACTCTGGTAAACTTAGGGTTTCATGACACAGAGAGAGATTGTCAAAATGTTAATTGCTAATTTAAAGCTGTCCAGAATTCTAATGCCAGGAATTAATCAACCATCTGGACCCCCAGATAAAATTTCCAGATCAAAGCTGTAATTCAAGCTATGGTGCCTAAACAGGACAACAGAGACCTTTGCAGGTCTTCTCCAGCAGTTCACATGTAGTGATCTAGCAATATTTTCACCGCTTAGTTGAAAAACAGACCATATTCCAACTGACCGAAATCTTACAGCAACACATCAAACCTCTAAATTAATGCATTCTAGCAGCCACCTTAAATTTACACTTCCCTTAAACACTTTGGTTGTACTTCCATAGTGAAAGAAAAAAGCTATTGTTTCATATTGTCCAACACTGCCTGAAAGTTTGTAATATATGGTAGCTTTTTAAAGATGTTTATATTAAAGTGGCTCTTGAAATTTCCTGACTTTCTATAGTATTATCCATAGTATTAAAAAAAAAATCACTGATATTTCCATTTAATTTTTAGCTTCTTGTAAAACATGGTGGAGACTTGTTTGCTGAAAATGAAAATAAAGATACTCCCTGTGACTGTGCAGAGAAGCAGCACCACAAAGAGTTAGCTCTCAATTTAGAATCTCAGATGGTGTTTTCACGAGATCCTGAAGCTGAAAGTATTGAAGCAGAATATGCTGCTTTAGATAAAAAGGAGGTAAAATAAAATGAAGAATGATTTATATCAGCCAAATATGTATCCTCTTAATGTGCTTTTTATTAGAAAAAGCCTGAGTCACTGGAGAACTGTGTGATGTTTATCGTAAGCTCTTGGGCTTGTATATTAGAATCACAAGGAGCTGCTTTAGAGCAACTAGATTTATGCATCTAACTGTTGTATTCTCTAATAAGCACAAACTGTTCAGATGCTTTTGGAAAGCACGGTTCTTTAATGTGATTTGCTCCCTATATCTTCTTTGAATTGACTATATCCTGTGCTATATTTACACAAATTGTTTTCAAACTACGTATGTAGAAAGAAATATGTTGCAAATATCTGTACTTTATAAATACAAAATGTAACATTAGTTTACCCAGTGGTCCCCAACCTTTTGGTTACCAGGAACCGGTCTATTGGAGGGCTTTTTTTTTTTTTTTTTTGTGGACCAAGAGGGCATGGTTTTGCAAGCTGCCTGGATCCCACACGTGAGTGGATGAGGTTTCTCTCGTTTGTTCAGACCATTTCCTGGCAGGCCATGGACTGCTATTAGTCTACAACCAGCGGATAGGGGATCCCTGATTCAACCTATTATGATAAAAGCTTATAAGCGTCTAAAAGATAGCAGCTAGCTACCTTAAATGTTTGAGGGTTTGGGTAAATAGGGATTTTTCTCTCTTACTTTACTATTATTAGTAATTTTAAATTATTGCAGGCTTAGTTTTTCTATAGAAATACATTTTTTTTTCCAAAAAAGGAAGATAAGGCAAGAGGGGTTATGTTGCAGCATGGAGTGTTGCAGTTCAAGACTGGAAGAATGCCAGTTGTGGACATGCTTCTAATTGGTCAGATTTACAGAATGTGGGTGACTTTTTTCCCATCTAAACCATTTGGCACTTCTCAAAATGTACAATTCGTCTTTATGTTCTTTCATGACTACATGAAGACTAATGGTCAAGAATTTGTGTGCTTGTACACAAAGCCAAACCTGGTAAAAACTAAAAGCAGCATAGTATATTTGCAAACCTGTGTAATCTTAAGAAAGATATCTATTTCATACCTTGGGCTGCTTTGCAGTAGTTTTTAGTTCTGATAGGTATAACAACATTACAGTCTTAACTCTCCAAATTCTTTAAAAGACTGGAAAATGGAGGATGTACATTAAAACAAAGCATAATGATAGAAAATGAGGCGAAGAGTTAGTGTTATGCCCTAGTTATATATAACACAATAGTGCATTGTATAAATTAATGCTTTCTGAAAGATTCAATAGGAGAAGAAAAGATATTAATGACAAGTTGAACAAGCTTGACATTCTAGGAACCATTTTTTTCTTTTAAAAAAATATCTGAAAAATAATTGTTACTCCATATATGCTGAAGCACATGTTTAAGCACATTACATGTCTATTCTAGTGGTTTTGGACCCTTTATTAGTCAAATTGGCTAAAAAATGAAAGTCATAACCGCAAATTCTTACACTGACTGCATGTAATTTTCAGTTTTAGCAATGTTCTTCTAAATGTGCCCCCGTAACGCACCAACTTGCATTAAAATTTTGGTTACAAGATTTTGGTTACAATACAATATGCACTTTATAGGAGAATGTTCGGGTTCTGTTTTTGGCCTGAAATCTGCATTAGCCAGGATGATAGTGCATACTCAGCGAAGCTATATTTGTAGAATCATGACCAAACTTCTTTCTCTCTCCACATTTCTATCAAAAAATATTCAAAAGTAAAACTCATATTAATATTTAAATAGCTTTTTAATCTACTGTCAACTGAAATCAACAGGCTTTTTTGGCTCAGAGGACTTCAAAAATCATTTTGGAGTTCCTGGTATTGTCGGGGATTATTGGGTAGAAAAATGTGAAGGTTAGGTTGCCTTGAATAGTTGCCGTAAAATTCATTTTAAGAGTTTTTATCCAGTTCATTTTGAAACCTCCTTATAAATAAAATATTTTTTATTACCTTATTTCATTCCATCTCACAGCCATATGAAGGACTACGACCTCAGGATCTTCGAAAGCTCAAAGATATGCTGATTGTAGAATCTGCTGATATGCTGCAAGCACCATTGTTTACTGCCGAAGCTTTGCTCCGAGCTCATGGTAATCAGAAACTATATCATTCAGCAAAACTTTAATAACAAAATATGCTAATATGTTTTTCCTCCGCTTTTCTAATAAAAATGACAGAGTGTTATAAGCGCAAATTGCTTAAATACTTTATTCCATTTTGCATTTCTTGTAATTTAACCCATTCCTTATGTTGCAAAGTATAAAATCATTTTTAACATTGATAGTGGTGAGATTATATTTAGTATTTTAATGATCATCTTGAAAGAATAGTAATTTTATTCAAGCCTGAGCACAAAATGTTGGAAATCATTTTCGTCTGAAGCTGGATAGGTCCACTCATTATGAAAGTATAATCTAACAGTTATGTGAATTGTAGATGTACCTTTCTCATGGAATTCTTAGCTGCAAGAGATCGGAAGTAAGTTGAATTGTTTATTCCTGTCTTGAAGAATAAAATATATTTGATCAGAATAAACAACTGAATGCTAACAGTTCTTAAGAAGGTTGTAGCAACCTTCTTAAGGATGAAAATTTATGTCAAATTATTGACTATTATTACAATCCAATTAATAATCCAGAATAAGGTGAGATTTGGATCATGATTTGGTTTAGTCACTTTCTTTAAGGAATTAACTTGAATTTTACAGTTTTAGCCTAATTTATTTAAGGAGGTTCAGATGATTGATCTCATTTATGAGATCAATTTTTAACAACATTTAAAAAAGGATCAGGGCTTGTAACAAATAAAAAAGTGTGACTGTAATCATGAATAACTGTAAATCAAACTCTATAAGATCTCGGTTTCAAATTTAGAGCAATTTCATTCATTCATTCATTCATTTCATTCTCAAATTGAGATTATAGAGGACTGTTTCTTAGTAATATATTAATTGTAACTTTATTCATTTGGTCACATGAAATGTAAATACCTTGTATGTTAAAAAAAATAGGACTTTTCTATCTTTATTTAGAATTAAGCAGGACAACTATTTAGTTAAGCAGAACCAAAATTCTGTGGTCTAAATCCTTTATGTAGATAATTTTGGAACCATATAGCAGTACATACCTGAGATTTGGTTCTTAATTTTTTTATATACAATGGTTATAAATCAGTGAACGAGCCATGAACAAAGAGAAACTGATCAAAACTTAAGATAGTGGGCAGAAATAAAAACACTTTATGCTTTTTTGTGCCTATATATAGTACAATAAAATCTCAAAAATCAATTTATAAATTGTTGAACAGCAACTAATAAAATTGGCTTTCTCATCACTGTTGCAAAATGTCAGAGTGTAGTAAAGTGGTTCAATTAAAAACTGAACTGAAATAATTTGTTATAAGCTCAAAAAAGTTAGACCACAAAAGGAAATCATTTCTACTTCGGACAGCACTAAATCTAACCATAATACAGCATAACACGTAGCACAAATCTAATCTGTGTTTTAGTTTTCTAAAACTAACATATTTTTTCTTCAATGTCTAAATAGCTATGGGAAATGTATCACTCTTTACATTCCCAATCTTGCAACTAGTTTACCTCTTAGCTAAAAATAAAGTTTGATCTACCCAGCACATACGTATATAATAGAAAAGTCACCTTTGAATTAAATTTAATTTCTAATGATTTCTTGGACACAACCATGTGTTTCCTTGACAACAAAATAAAAGCAGTTTACCATTGTCTTATTCCAGAATACTTTTTTCTCCGATTTCTTTGAATAGTCTACTATCCTAGCCTGCTTATGTTTTTAAGATCAACCACATAATTTTAAGAACAAGATGGATCTACTTTTTCTATAAAATAAAAACAATTTTAAAAGTCAAACCCCATTTTTCTTTTAAAAACCTTCCTTCAATAGATCAGTTAATATTTTATCAGACAGTATTGTACTTTGTGTCTCTACTACACAGTCTTGAAAGTTGGGAAGCTGTTCTGAATATATTATTGTGATTAGTCCTAATCTTATCTTAATTTTTTAATTCTGAAGATTTTCCTTCACCATTACATATGCCCATGTTTATGTATAAGAATTTTTAAAGATTATAACATTTATACTTTAAAATTCTATGACATTTTGTTGAAAGGTTGTAGCTATTCTACTTTCTTGACACTTTTTATTTAAGATTGGGACAGAGAAAAATTACTTGAAGCTTGGATGACAAATCCAGAGAACTGCTGCCAGCGTTCAGGTGTTCAAATGCCAACACCACCTCCAAGTGGATATAATGCCTGGGATACACTTCCTTCACCAAGAACTCCTCGGACTACTCGTTCTTCTATCACTTCTCCAGATGAAATTAGCCTCTCACCAGGGGACATTGAGACAACTATGGTATACTTCATTTTTAAAATACATTTCTAGAATGATACAATATTTTATTTATTAGATTTGTATCCTTTGTTCAGGGGGATACAAATGTGTACAGGTGCTCAGGGCAGTGGTCAGAGTCTCCTCCTATTTTTCTCCCTACAATGAAAACCTTGTGATACCACATTAGCTCTCAATGTACAATAATATATTACTTGTGCAAGTAATATTACATGATTACGCTACATTTTCAAGTTGTTAAATATCTCACTGAGTCATATTTTAAGTAGTTGCAACAACATTTCTCTCCCTATATTAGGTAGTAGAATGAAATCTCACTTTTGACTAGAAAAATGTTGCTATTAAACTGTAGCTTTATTAGTCCTGCTTAGGTAATATCCTTGTATGCAGAACCGAACACATGAGCTGTAGTGAGCAAATATTCTCCTCCTAATTCTACATTGAGATGAAGGCATCATCAGAGTTTCAGGTCAGCCGACGCATTGCAGTCACGATGGCCATGGAATTGATGATTTACAGGCCAGAAAACATTTCTGACCACCTTAAAGCAATATGCTGCATTCTCCCAGGTCACATGACTATATTACAGATGCTTGTCAACCTGTTCCCATTTATATATGTTTTTACTACATGTTTTTTTTCTTAATATAACATACAAATAGAAATGAAAACAATGGGAAAAAAGTTATTTAATTTAATTTAATTTAATTAATCATATTTCTATGCCACCCAACTTCCAAGGGACTCTGGGCGGCTTACAACAGAAATAACAGTGAACATAAAATTTAAAAAAAAAAACATTATAAAAGCATTTTAAAAACATTAAAAACACATGCTCACCATCCATGGCTGGATCTCGCAAGATTGAATAGCGAGATCAACGGCCCCAGGCCTGCCGGAAAAGCCAGGTCTTCACCGCTTTCCAGAAGGCCAATAGGGTGGGGGTAGTCCGGACCTCAGGAGGTAACTGGTTCCAGAGAGCTGGGGCAGTCACAGAGAAGGCCCTCCCCCATGGGCCAGCCAGCCGGCATTGTTTAGCTGACAGGACCCGGAGGAGACCAACTCTGTGGGATAGGTTTCTCCTGTCCAGTCATTTCCAACCCCTAGGGACATTTCTCATCTCCGTTTCTTAGCCAAGGGAGCCAGCATTGTCCGAAGACATTTCTGTGATCATGCCAGGGATGGGTTCTACTTACCTTTACTACCGGTTTGCATTGTGCACACACGCGCTCATCTGCACATGTGCAGATCATCTGTGATGACATCCGGGTCAGTGGGCGGAGCCTCCGCCGGTTTTACTACCGGTTCTTGCGAACTAGTCCGAACTGGGGGCAACCCACCACTGGATCATGTGGCCGGCATGACTATACACCAAAGTTGTACGGAATTCTGTTACCTTCCCACCAAAGTAATAGCTATTTATCTACTCGCATTTGCATGCCTTTGAACTGCTAGGTGTGCAGGAGCTGGGCAAGTAACAGGAGCTTACCCTGTGGCATGGTGCTCATGTCTCAAACTTGGGTTGTCAGCTTTCCAGCTGACAATGTGTCTTTAACTGCTGAACCATCATACTCCATTAACAACGGAAAAAGTGGGTAGCGTAGAGGAGATAAAGTGAGGGAAAGAGAAAAGAAAAACAAAAAGCAGTGACTTCCAACTACTTACGGTGCAGTAAGACCCATGATAGAGTTATATCAACTTTTTACTTATACCAAATAGTGAATACAGTAAAACAACTTGCTGAATGCACCCAGTCACATATCTGTATTTCAGGTGCTTGGCAACCTGTTCACATTTATGTCCAGTTGCCAAGTGCCTATGATCATGTGATCTCCATTTCCAATCTTTGCTATTTTCCCAAAAACGTCAGTGGTAGGGAAGGTTGCAAGCAGAGGGTACATTTGAATTTTAGAATGAAACCCTCTGCATGCTGATAGATTTCATCTCCCCTCTTTACCCACACAGGAGGACGGACCTCAAATCTGGCAAAAATGCTAGTGAATGCCAGCATTTGGGAATTTTTAGAATGCTGGAATTTGCTAGCAATTTCTCTCCCCTTCAGAGCCTTTCTGAGTCTTTTGGAGTCTTTTGAAAATGCCAGTGAATGACAGCGTTCTGAAAGAGTGTTGAAGAATTTGCCTTTGTTTTCAGTGAGGCAGGGAGAGAGTCTGGACCTCCAAGATGTGTTGAGAGGTCCAGGCCCTCTCCCCACCTCACCATGCCCAAGAGGTCTTGGCCCTCTGCCAGGTGCTTTGCTTAATGATTCGCACAGTCATTTAATGACTACCACTGAGAGAGCCAGGTTTGTTGTCATTGTGCAAAGTAGTCATATAGTGTCTGACTTAATGACCGTTTTGTTCAATGATCAAGATTATGGGTCATAAGTGGAGGGTTATCTGTAATAGGTCAAATAGTAACTGTTTTTTATATGGCCAGTATGTACAAATGCAACCCAAATAAAGGAAGTAAACAATTAAACAACGCTTTCTCATAAAACTTTTTCTTCTTCTCTCTAAATGTTACAGATGCATATGATGGATTATTCAAATTCAGATTAAGCAATAAGGGTACTTTATTGCCCTCAGTAAAAAACTGGGCTGTTGAAATAAAATCTACTGCAATCATGAGAGGTTGAAATATTCCTAAAAAATTTCCCTTTCCTTCCCTTCCTTTCCCTTCCCACCAGTTTAAGACAAGGAAAGGATTGGGAAAGCCAAATTGGTTTAACAGTTGTGTGATTCATTTTTATGACTGCCCTTAATTACAATAGAAATTCCGATCCCAATTGTGGTTGTAAATCAAGGGCTACCTGTGCTTTTAAGAGAGGAAAGGTGGAAACCATAACAGTGGAAATCCCTTTAATATTAATTTCATGACCATTTTTGACTACCATTCTGTGAAGAGCAAAGTACTATATTTTATTTCATTCTAGTAGTTTTGCAGTAAGAGGTGTGATATTTGACAATTTACATAAAAACGAATTTTGCTGAATTGTGATCAGTTCTGTGGCTATTATTCTGTAAGATATCCTTGTAACTCCATTGAAAATTTGAATTTTAGTTTCTATTGTATGTAATTGATGTAATTCTATTGTATGTAATTGTACTTAAGTTTTTCTTGTTCCTTTTCTTTTTCTGTCTCTCTCTTACCTTACAGCAATCACTTTATCTAATTTTAAAAGTCAGCCTCCTAATACTCTGGTACTGTAGATGAGAAAGACTATTACTATGTGATCTTGCATATATCAGTGAGAACATCATACTTTTAATATGTCAAAGGCTTTTCATTATAATTGGAAAATCCATTTGAAAAACAGTCCCTTTTTAATGCCCCCTACACACTTTCCTTTTTAAAATGAGTTATGGATTCATGTTTTTTTTTCATATTTGTCTTGTCAGCGTCAAACATAAACACTCTATTTAAATATGTATAAATGGCCTCTGTATAAATGGCTTTGGCTTATGTACTCTTTCCCCATTTAAACCATAACAAAAGGGAATGGTCTTCTTTTCAAAAGTTCTACAGTGCTCCAATTCCGGTAGTTCATTTAATAACTCTTAAAAGTTAGATAGTGCTGAAAAAAGTGATTTCCGACCCAGTCCTCACACTTATTACCATTGCATTGTTCATGGTCATATGATCAAAATTGAGGCACTTGACAACTGGCAGTTATTTACAATGATTACAGCGTCCCAGGGTCAGTGATTGCCATTTGCAATCTTCCCAGGGGTTTCCGAGAAGCAAAGTCAATGGAGCAAGCCACATTCATTAACAACTGCATGACCACAGCAAAAAAGGTCACAAAATCAGGCACAACTCATACATCACTTAGCTACAGAGGTTCCAGACCCAATTGTGGTCGTACGTCAAGGACTACCTGTAAGAAAAGCCATTGTTGGTTGCTATTATAAAGAGACTTGGAAAATGTGACTCACTGTGGATTTAAGAGTGCCAGACAGACCAGAGTACACAGTTCTAGTAATTGGGTCCAAACCATTGAAAGCTTTATAGAGCATAGTCAACTTGGAATTGAGTCTGGAAAATAATGGGTAACTAATGAAGCTGTAGGGGAGATGGTGGCATTAAATAAAAGCATTACTCACAATTCTTGCTACTGCATTTGGGGGACATATTGCCTTGATGGGCTACTTCACAAACTGAGCATGGCAGTAATCTGGTAATTTAATATTAGCAATGGATGCATTGTCTATATTAGATCCTCCCTTTCAGGGAAGAATAGGACATCTGATTTATCAGCCGGGCTGATAAAAAGCCTTCTTGCAACCAGTGTAAAATGGCTTTTTCAGTGGATTTAGAAATATAAAACAGTGATAGTTTTCTTGAGTTAGAATAGCAGTTTCTAAGCCTTGGAGAATATGATCTCATTCAGTCTAATTTTTCATCTTAAAAAACAAAGAATAACATTTTACAGCATGTTTTTTGTTCGCTGCTCTTTTGAAATGCTAGGAATTTTTGAACCAATCAATATAAGTTGTTACTTTTATCTTCCTCATCTACATCTCTTCACCACCACAGCCTCTATGTGTTGTTACTCTCACATTTCAGCAACATCAGACTAAGGGCAGGATGTAAATGAAATAAATAAAATGGAAGAAATTAGAAGAGGCTGTGGATCAGATCAGACCTTTTTAACATACACTAATTTTTAAACTGTTTTTTTATCTGCAGTGTGAAATTTGTATGTGTAATATTTCTATCTTTGAAGATCCAGTAGATATGCCTTGTGGGCATGAGTTTTGTAGAGCATGTTGGGAAGCGTAAGTACAAATTTAACCTCTTTATTAAAAACTATTTTGGATGTTCCACAGTCTAATTCTTATAATTATATTTTAAAAAGTTTTGATATATAAATGCTAGTTATCATCAGAAATAAGAAATCCTATTCATGTATATTAATGTAGAAAATTTGATTTTAGTGCAGCTTCCTTGCTTGCTTCCTTCCTTCCTACCTTCTTTCTTTTCCTTTTCCTTTTCCTTTTTCTTTTGCAATCTGTAGCTTTCATTTTCTGGAAATAATCCTTCCCATTAATGATGGTGCCTGTTTTTCCCAGCCTGGCCATCTAGAAGGTGGCTTATTCTAAAGATAAAAAAGATTAGATGCATCATAAAGCAAGTGCAACAGTAAAAGAAAGGGAGAAGGGAGATCAAATCAAAGTGGATAAACCTTTAACCAAGCCATAATCTTTCTCATAAGATTGAAACATTGAAAGTTTATTATGATAAAAACAACCCCATGTGAATCTTTCATAAGTATATTCTTCATTTTGTTGACCACCTCCCATGTGGTTGGAAAAAACCTTTGGAAACTACTTGTTTAACTACAAATTGTTGGATTATCCTGATGGATAAACTATTATTGACAATTAATTTTGTTCTGTATCTTTGAGGAAGTTAATATTTTCTCTTCAATCTTAATATATATTCAATAGATTTTTGAATATGAAGATTCAAGAGGGTGAAGCTCACAATATTTTTTGCCCAGCGTATGATTGCTTTCAACTTGTTCCAGTGGAGATAATAGAAAGTGTGGTTTCCAAGGAGATGGATAAACGCTACCTACAGTTTGATATTAAGGTAAACTGTGAGATTATGAGAATGTGATTTAACCATCTGGTTGAGTTTATTATTCTAAATTGAAAATAAATCTCTCAGAAAGGTGGGCAAATAATTGCTGCTCCCGGAACCATCAGAGTATTTGCTGCTGCACTGGAAAATAGTATATATGTTCACTTAGCCATGATCCAAAGTACTCTGATAATTGAATGTATATATAATTTAAAGTTATCTTTGGGCTTTGCATCCTATAAACCTTGGTCAAGCCATTCAGTCACTTAGATAGTTATTAGTTGAGAACAATTTGTCTGATTGCATTTATTTATTTGATTGATTGATTGATTGATTGACTGACTGACTGTTTGCATTTAAATCAGCAATTCACTGAGAACAATCAGTTTTAATATGTTGGTATTTTACAGTTTCACTTAATAAACTTGGGACCTACTCTACACTCAGTAGCTCACTCAGGTGGATCATATCAAAGTTTCCTATCATTGTAACATTTTATTTATTAATAATCAAGTTTCATGCCACATAATTCTTGGGGTATGTTTCAAATCAGTAAAATTATTTAGCCTGATATATTTTTATTCTTATAATTATTTTAAACCATACTCTTCAGGCTACTTATCAACTGAATAAGGTTTGTATAGAAAGATTTAGTTTGTAATGGAAACTAATTTCTAGTTCTATATTTTTAAATCTTGTTTTCAGGCCTTTGTTGAAAATAATCCTTCTATTAAATGGTGCCCTACACCAGCTTGTGAAAGAGCAGTCAGGCTAACAAGACAAGGATCTAATACAACCGGTTCAGAAACACTTAGTTTCCCATTATTAAGAGCCCCCGCTGTGGATTGTGGGAAAGGACATCTTTTCTGCTGGTAATGCTTGTTTATTTTTGATCCTGGAATTTTTACTGGCTATTTTGGACTAATTTTGAAAGCTGTGTATAAGCATTGAAATAATTACCGGTAACAGTTGTGGGAGCTGATATAATTAATGTTTTGTAAATATATTTTTGCATATTTCCAATATTCTAATTTTATTTAAATAAATGTTTTTAATTCAGAATTTTCAATAATTCAATAAAAAATGAATTATCATATTTTAGTGGTCTTTGTTCAGTGCAGATAGTCCTTGATTAATAATCACTTACAACAAGTTATAACAAGTTACAACAGTGCTAAATGAGCATTTATGACTCGCCATCAAAGAACTGGCTATCCTAGCAGCCACATGATTGCTATCTGGGCACTTGGCAACCAGCTTGCAGTCACGATGGTTGCAGTATCCCACAGTCACATGATTGTAATTCAAGATCTTCCTTGCTGGTTTCCAACAAGAAAAATCAGTGGGGAAACTGGCAGGGAAGGTTACAAGTTACTCAAGTACGTCTTCTTCGCCCTTCAGCAACCAGCTCCAGCCCTGCCACACTTACACTGCACCTCACCAGCCTCTCATATACCACCCAACACCCTGCAGCAGCCACCTTGAGCCACACCATGCTTTCATCACACAAGTGCACCCTACACTCTGGGGCAGCTATCCCAAACACCTTCATATTCATAACACATTGAATCTTCCCAAACTGCACTATGCTCACTTTGGCTTCCACATACACTTACACCTTCCACTTCCACACCCTGTAGCAGCCATAGTGAGCCCATTGCTTCACACTAGTCCTTTACATTTTGCAGCAACCACCCTAAGCCTCACTATGCTGGGCCTGTCTGCACTTTCTTATACTCTGCAGCATCCCCCCCAAGCCCCACCTTGTTTGAATTCTGTGACATTGGACCCTTGTGTATACTTCTGCACTCAGTAGCCAATTACCTGCCCATCAGCCTGCCTGTGAACTTCCTGGCTTTCCCACTGACTTGGCTTGTTGAAAGCCACTTAATCATCCATGATCCTCACCTAATAATAGTAGTTTGGATTTCTGGGATATCATCACTAATTAAGTGCTGTCACATGATGTCACACTTTAAGACCACATCACATAGCAATGAAAATTCTGGTTTAAGTTGTCATTGTTAACTGAGGACTACCTGCATGTCCACATATTACCAACCTCTGATGTAAGGAATATACATTACCGTAAATTGATATTGAAAACCAGGATATTGAAAATTAAGATTTTAACATTATTTTTTGTATCAAGCAATGTACGCTTTTTACTATCTAAAACACTGGTTATTCCGAGCCGTGGTCACATTTCTCTGTCCATCAGGCACCTGTTATTCTTTTATAATGCATAAAAATTTTCTAAACTGATCTGTGAGGAATAAGGATAGAAGGGAAAATATGCCTGCTATGCAGGCATATGCGCTGTCATAATATTGCTGTTTAACCAGTTTTTAAGTATTCCTTCCTGTTCCCAAAAATGTGGTTGCTAAAATCACGTGGTTGCAAGATTATCCCAATGCTTTTCTTCCTATGGAGTTTCTCACTCCTGAGAAATAGGATGTGATGCCAATCTGCATGTAGATTGCAGAGAGGGGTTAATTTTCTGCAAATGATCAGAAATATCATTTAAAATCTCAAGTATTTTAGAAAAAGATGAAGTTGTGTCTAATGGGTGGGTGAAATTGAAAGAATAACTGCTTTGAATAATTATGGGAACCCTAGTTCATAGAACTTTGGCCTGTTATTTGAGAGCTGATATTAAATATTTGGTCTGTTTTTAACAACCAGAATGTTATAGTGGTATTAGGTTAGAACCAAGGAAGTTAACATTCAAATCAATAGTTAATCATGGCATTTGACTGAGTGGCTTTGGGCCAATCACTTTCTGTTTCAGCCATTCTATCTTTCTTATAGTATTGTCATGGCGGTAAAATAAATTGAGACTTCTCAGGTAAGCTGTCTCAAGGAAACACAGAATGTATAGCTAATAGATAAAATATAAGCAAATAAACTGCTCTGACTAGGCTTCATTCGTGCTTTGTACACTTCTAAACCATATTATAGTTTCAGATCTTATCTTTTGGGGTGCTTACAGCACTGTGTAGAGTTTACATAGTTCACCTATTTCTTCACTTTATGAAAATCTCAATTTTAGGCACCTCAATTTTCACTCCTCTTATTGTAGGACACGACAGAAATGAAGGGAGCAATACTTAAATATATATTGCATAAGGGTAGGATTCCCATCCTAAATCTCTTTGTGCTTTAGACAGGATACCCCGTAGATGCAGGGCTTTTATATGTGAATTCACAGCTGGCCAACTTAATGAACTCAAGTAATAGATTAAAATTTCAGTTTTTTTACAATTATTCTCGAAAATTCTGTAGTAAGTGTTTCATTTGTTTTAATGTGAAGTTTACTTTTTCCCTTATTCTAACTCTGGGTTCATTTTTAGGGAGTGTTTAGGTGAAGCCCATGAACCTTGCGATTGTGAAACTTGGAAAAATTGGCTGCAGAAAATAACAGAAATGAAACCTGAAGAGCGTAAGAATGTCCATCGTGTCTTTTTTGTTTATTTTATAGAAACTATGCAATGTGTTATAAGACTCATGCAGGCTATGGGACTCACTGGTGCATGGAAACCTACTGTGGACCAGAGGGCCTGGATCTCTTCTCCCCATCCCACCATGCCTGGGAGACTTCTACCAGTTGCAGGGATCTGCAGTGTACATGAATTGCTCCACTTACCTTTGTGTTGTTTTTTTCTTGTAGCTCCTGACAAGCAAACCCAGCTGAAATGACCCCTGGCCTTGTTACAGAAGCTGCCTCATATCATTCTGCAAGGAGCATTCTCACAATTGTTTGGAAGGCTTCTTTTCCCAATCACGCAATTTAGAGAAGGAGCCTTCCAAACTATTGCCTTTGCTAGCTTTCAAGCTTAGAAAGTGTAGAAAGCTAGCAAAGGTGATTACTCAGAAAGATCCTCTTTCTAGTGATCACAACAGCTGACATCCTTCTCACAATCATTTGGAACACTCTTCTCCAAATCATGTGAACTTGGAAAAGAATCTTCCAAAGTATCATGAGTATGGTGTCCACTTGCAGTATGACACAAGGCAGCTTCTCTGGAAGGCCATGCCTTGCATTGCCTAGATGCACCTACCAGTAGTTGCAAATAAATGCAAGGGTACGTGGAGCAATTTATTTGTACTGCTGGGCCTTGTAACTTGCAGAAGCCTTTTGAATGTGGAAGGTAGGGAGCAGACTTGGACTCGCTGGTGCACTCGATAGGCAGCTGAAATGATGGGACAGATAGGCAGGTGGGAGAAGAGGGGAGAGTTGCAGAACCCCTGTGGTCAGTGTCACATGAATAGGAAATTATAATCTCAAATGGTTTTCAAGTTCAATTAAATTCTGTGTCAAAAATTTTTAAAGTTAGGTTTTTTAACATTAGGTTACAAACTTAAAAAAATAGGAAGTGCAGTGAGCCTTTTGTTTTAAGAAATATTACATGAACATTATATGCACCTAATATTTTTGTTTCCCTCTTCAAAGTTGTGGGAGTTAGTGAAGCTTATGAAGATGCTGCTAACTGCTTATGGTTACTCACAAACTCCAAACCATGTGCCAACTGTAAATCTCCCATTCAGAAAAATGAAGGATGCAACCACATGCAGTGTGCAAAGGTGAACAAATATTGTCCAGGGTTATGTCACTCTTAGACCCAATGTCTAAAGAAAAATAAAAAGAACCAGAAGATATATTTAGTGTTTTCAGAAAGATAGGCACAATTGGACCAAGCCATATTTTAGGGTAGTATACTGTTATAAAAGGCAACATTTATCTAAATCACATTCTAGATAATAATTTCAGATGACTCATAGTTAATAATCATTTATCAGTTTTAGACTTTGCTAAAGAATTGATAAAGACCTATTACTGAAGTCATCATCTCAGATATAATTACATTTTTAGTGTAGTATAGTATATCAGAATACTGTATGTATATCTTTTCCTTTCTTAGTGCAAATATGATTTCTGTTGGATATGCCTTGAAGAATGGAAAAAACATAGTTCTTCCACTGGAGGATATTATAGATGTACTCGCTATGAAGTAATTCAACACGTAGAAGAACAATCTAAAGAAATGACAGCAGAGGTAAGAAAATGATTTATTTTCAGGAATAGATCATCATCATCATTATGTGTTATTCTCTTGTTTTGAATATAATGGCTGATTCCATACATTGTGCTAAGCTGTGATTCTTTAACTCATAGCTAGACAATTAACATTAACTTAGTTAACATGAACTAAGATGATGTTAAATCTAACTTTAAAAAGTATTTTTGTTAGTTAAGTATTCATCATCTATCCGTTTCCAAAATATATGTAATATGAGCCTCATAAACATTCTTCATCCGTGTCTTCTGTGCATATCAGAAATTTAAGCAAAGGTCGAACTCAGCAGTAATTGAAAGCCAGCCAAATTTTCTATCAGTATCCAAAATTAAAGGTACAGAAAACAGATGTGAAGTGAAAGATTAAAGCCTTTCTTGTGAGCGAGAGGAACTGTTTTTGAAAATCTGTTTCAAATGTAATCCAAAATATCATTTACCAACAACAAAATTTGATTTACTGGTTCATAATAGTAGCTGCATTACTTTGACTGGAAAAAAAAACCCCTTAGTAGTTCAGTTCATTAATTGCAGCAAGGGAGTGCTGATATATATTTTGAGTTTGTTAAAATGTCCTAACATTTGCATTATATTGAAAGTGGCAATATAGAAAAAGGTGGAGGAGGCTTCAGTTTTAAGACACTTGCCCCTTATATTGGACTACAAAAGAAAAAAGAGACTTTGAATTTTCATAGTCAGCAAGTGTCTCTTGTAAACTATTCAGCCAGAATTTCTAGTTAATAAGTAGATGGGGCCTAACCTGACCTTTTAGAATACCACTTTTATAATTAAAAAAATCATTATGGAACAGCTATTCCCTTTCATTTTAGAATGGAGTGAGCATTGTATCCAGACAGAATCAACATGTTTGGCCTCACTTGACTTTTAAAACCCAAAGTCTTCCAGTATATCATGAGTTTCTTTGATTCAAAATTGATTAACTACTCTATTTTGTCTGTTGAATTCAGATGACTAATTTATTTGTTCAATATTCATTACTGTGTGTGAGTATATTTCTACTGTACACAATTTAAGAATGTGGAATATTTGGTCTTGTTTATGAGGAAAATTTAAAATCTGCTTTTTTCTTCCCTTTTTAAACATTTTTTTCGAGGCTGAAAAGAAACACAAAAGATTTCAAGAACTTGACAGATTTATGCACTATTATACAAGATTTAAGAACCATGAGCTCAGCTATCAGGTATGATTACGAATAGTTGTGTTAAATCAGTTTCCAACTTTATTTGTTCAAAATACAAAGTTTTCATTATTGTCTTCATTTTATTTCTTTTAGTTGGAACAGCGCCTTCTCAAAACAGCCAAAGAAAAAATGGAGCAGCTGAGTAGAGCCCTTGGTGGATGTAAGTGCCTTTTTCCCCCCCCTATAGTATGGTTGAGGACTCAGAATAATATTCTTGTATTAATTTAATTATTTTTGCCAACTATGTTTGATTAATGATCTAATACATTATATTATATATAGCAGAGCATTTTAGGCGTGTTTGAAAATATGCCATATTCTCTGCAACAAAATTATAACAACTAAATCTCATTCTAAATCTCTCTTTGATATACAATATACTAGCGTCAAACGGATGCATTTCCTGCATTTCTCTTTGAATTGATGCTTCAGTCTGAACAGAACCCAAAGTATTTTTGCCCAGCTAAATACTCCCTTTTTATATTTAAGGAAGCATTGTTCTCTAGATACATCTGTCCTTTTTAAGATAAGGTAAAGGATTTTCTTTTGTGTCCATCACAACTATACATTATGCATGGATATGAGGAAAGGCATTTTTAGTTGCAGTGCTGTTGTTTCCTTCTCAGTCCCAAGAGAAATTTTGGATATTTACCAAAGATTTTGGTCTGAACAACAACAGGTTAGAACTTACTCTGTTTTTGTGCCGGTTGTTTATGGTTTTATATAGTAATTGTTAATATTCTGCCAGCCTTTACTGCTATAGAAAAAGTTATAAATACTTGAATGAAGAAATAAAAATACTCTGTTAAGAATATAATTAGAATTTACAATTTATCTACTCAAAAGTTTCTTCATTGAATTCAAATTTGTATGGTTTGGGGGTATTTTTAATGCATTTTTGTATCTGTTTTCATGTCTAAAAACTCTGCTAGTGTTTCTGTGGTTTTATTTTTAACAACATGAAATCTTAATAGCAAGTCATTAAAAAAGAATAATAGTATATAGGTTGAAGTATTAATAGAAAAATCAGAATTATATATCTGTAAGAATTGTTCACTTTTCAGTCACAAAACTAATTATCATGTTTATATCTTGAAATATCTGCTTTGGATGGCTATCATAATCTAATTTTACTAATTTCAGAAATCTGAATACAGTCAATTCGAAAGTTACTTGCAAGTATTTTTTTTTTATTTGAAGTCAAGGCTGAGAAACCATTCTAATTTTATACGATATTAATAGTTTTTGTTTAATTCAGAAGAGAGCTTATGCTTGCTGAAGTAGTTTTTTCAGGAACCAAAAAAATAAACATTTACTTGCAATACCCGAACATATCTTGCAGCAGAAGGAAGTTGTCCTGATACCACATTCATTGAAGATGCAGTACAAGAACTCCTCAAAACTCGACGGATTCTGAAGTGTTCTTATCCTTATGGATTCTTTCTAGAACCAAAAAGCACAAAGAAAGAAATATTTGAACTAATGCAGGTAAATATATTACCCTGTGGTGGCCCTTGTTCTGCAATTCTTCTTTATCAAGATTTAGACAAAGGGATTCTGTGCCTGCATACCAACTCAGAAAATAGCAATTCCTATGTTGTTGTTTTTGCAAGTGTGCTACACCAACATACATCTGAATATGTTGTGTTCAGTATGCACTTAAGTAGAACTCCCAACAGAATCTTCACTACTCTTCTGATTGCCATAGCAGTTATTCCCCTTTCAGCATCTTTGCATCATGTTGTACGTATGGCCAACAATTCTAGCCCTGCATTATCTTTTGAATACCTTTTAGAAAACGCTAGGAAAGTGATGCATGTTGCAAAATTACATCTACACAATCAGGTATTTTACTATGCATCCTTGACCAAATAAATCATTCCATACAGCTTAAAGCATTACTTTGAGCCTTCTCTACTACGCCATCTTTACAAAAAGTATCCTGAGCTACTCACGGTTCTCATCTACCAGTTATGATTTCTCCCAATTGTTTTACCATCTCATAATAAAAGATCACATAGGAAGACAATGCTTCAGTGCTCCTTGGATCTGTGCCACTAACCTTAAGTAGTTGCTTGATAGGAAGACTCTGATCTGAGACACTTGGATTGGCCAGGCATTCTGAACCCCACCCAACACTTCTCAAGCCATAATTTGATAAACTAGTCATGCATTACAAACACATTTATCTTACTTATTGCCAGTGTTTTGATTATTTGTATTGCAAATACTTTATTTGTCAGTTGCATGGGGGGGGGGGGAAATATTGACTTTGATAGATTTGGCATTATAGAAATATAATAATAAAAAAACAACTTTAACAATAGAAAATAAAGACTTGTCCAAGGCGCTATATAAAGACTCCCTTGACCCCACTTTACTATATGTTTTATTCTTATTTTTATCAATATAGTGTAATTGTTAAAAAGTTGGATTAAGACAGTGATGGCCAACTTTTTGGGCTCAGCGCATCAAAAATTCAGACTTGACCCCGCTAGTGTGTTATACCCACTTCTCTGAACAATACAGGAACAATTCTCTTATCTTCCCGATCTCCAATCCAAGTCACCCTGATGAGTGGCACTCAGCAGCAGGGTCAAAGCTGAGCCTGAAGTAGACACCCACAATTTAATTTCAGCCCCAATGCTACTTCAAAAGACTGCCTCACACTGTTCCCAAAGTGCATCAGCCTGGGGAATGGTGGGATAACCCAACACTTCCCAGGATCTGCCATGAGCCACTTACCTTCAGCTGATGTTCTTTGTGACAGACCCCTATGGCCTATTCAAGGCTGCTCTGAGTCACATGAACCCTTTGATCTTAACATGGCTTTGAAGAATGATGTTCTGTGGCCTATGCTGCTTCTGAACATCATGCAAAAGCACATCTCATTCTTGCACAATTTTTGGAGGTTCAATTCTGGTATGATTTCTAGGGGACATGAAGGCCATACAAGAGCATTCTTGTGCAACCTGCAAAAATTGTACAAGAACAGGGACATTTTTGAGAATAATTGTTGGATGTTGGCAAATCCAACTATGTCACCCAAAATATAGTGGCATGTCACAAGTTCACTACCATTGCCTAGGTCCTAGGAGTATTATGAAACAGGTTCAAATCTAACTTCATCCATAGAAACTCACTAGATAAGCTTGAATCAGCCCCATTCCCTCAGCCCAGCCATTCTCATAGATTTATTTTTCTAAGATGACTTAACAACCCAGATAAATATGAATCTAACACAAAATCCAGGTATGTGCATTCACAAATGTGCAAACAACATTTATTGTTTAGTAACCAGCGATATATATATATATATATATATATATATATATATATACACACACACACACACACACACACACACACACACACACACACACACACACACACTTTTATTTGCTGTCACAGACCAAAATACAAATATAATTACAAAAGAACATGGGAAAAGTAACATCATGAACAGTTGGCCACCAGAAGCCTTGGCTGAGAGGAATTACAGCATTCTCCTCTAATGGTTACGGCTCTTTAAAAAAATTTAGAAACCTGAGAAGTAATGTGTGAGGAGCCATCCCCTAAACAATATAAGGTCAAATTACTAGCATTGGATCCAGAGAGATCTGTTTCTAGGAGAGACAGTAATTTAGTCCTGCCCTCGTTATACATAGGGCAGTGTAAAAGAACATGCTCCACAGCATGTTCGACCTCAGCTCTATCACAGGGGCATAACTGCTCACTTATCAGAAGCCTCTAGTAACCAGCTTTTTTCAGCTGATATAATTTTATGGCTTTAATAGATTGAACCTATCATTTTACCGAGTTTTTCCCCAAATTATTTTTTCTACATTGCATTAATAAATTATAATCTACATTAAATGGATATTCTTCTTATAGAAGTCATTGAAGTGCACTCTTTACAAGAAATAAATGGCTCTTTAAAATGTTAATTTCAAAGGGATTACACTTTAATAAATAAAATGACTCCTTGGGGTGTTGCTGCCAATCTAAAACTCAAAAGATTTCTTACTTTTTTTATTGGTATAGTAAAAAGTACATTATTGCATGTGTTGTAATGCTTCCTGCTTAAGTGGATTATACAGTTATAAAATAGTAAACCATAGAAACCTCAATTTTTTACTGGAACTATAAATTCCAGTAGAATTTAATTTTAGTTATATCCCTAACCATTATAATAGGGAATGCATCTTTTTGTGCATATATTTGTCTTCATCATTGATTATATAGCCGGCACATATATTTTCATCTTGTAAAGTGTTGGTTACAGTATTATTTTCTATTGTAGACAGACCTTGAAATGGTTACAGAAGATCTTGCTCAGAAAGTGAACAGACCTTACCTTCGTACTCCCCGCCATAAAATCATCCGGGCAGCTTGCCTTGTTCAACAGAAGAGGCAAGAGTTCTTAGCTTCTGTAGCCCGTGGAGTTGCTCCTGCTGATTCTCCAGAAGCTCCAAGGCGCAGGTAATCCCATAAAATAAAGACTTGCACCCCAAAAGAAGTACAATTTGTAAGTACCAAGTATGGTAAGCCTGTCTTACAACCTTGTTTGTTGAGAGTAAGGTATAGTAAACTGATGATGTCCAGTTGTTTTGGACTGCAACTCTTTTCATTCTTTTAACATAGCCAATACTAGCTGAGCTGATGCAAGTTGAAGTATAAAACATCTGAAAAGCATCAGGCTGCCTACCCATGATTTAGAAAAACAGCAAATAGTTTGCCTTGAATAATTCATTTTAAAAATTTATGAACTTGGTTTAATCATTCCATTGCTTAATTATTTTAAGTCATGGGGTGCATTGGTGCTTGTGACTAAAATTAAAATAAGGAGAAAAGTTATGCATGTTCCATTTTGTTAGAGGTGAGAGTGCAGAATTGTCCTTAGAAACTTTGAAGTAAAATGTATATGCAGATGTCCCTACATATGAAACACAGAATTTTATTTGTTGCCCTTTGAACAGCTGACCTTTTTTCATGAGTACAGAATTGTGCCAATACCAGGAATTAGAGCTCTGTGGCATTTGTAAATATGCTAGATAGTCTGATTAACTTATTAATTGCCCTAACCCTGCTGATCTCTCACAGGGCATTAAAAACCTGGTTTTGTCATGGAGCCTGGGGCCCTGATAGCAAGGGTAAACCTGTGTCATGGCTTCTTTGAATGTTTGTAAGCCTTCTCAGATGCTATTTTTATATCCTTTTTGCTACTTTAATTCTGGTTTTCATTCTTTTTAATTCAGAGCTGCCCAAATTCATATTTATGAAATGGACAGTTTATACATTTAATGCATAAATTTTATTCTCATAGTAAATGATCATATTAAATCAAATATTTTAAACCAAATTTTATTTATAGGAGAAGAGAAATATTTATTTTATATATTGTATATTTTTTGCATTCTATTTATTTTATGATAAGCTCCCTAGAGTCACATATGTGATATGGGCAGCTATATAAATAAATTAAATAAATGTGAAAATAGTACCTTGAAAATAGAATTACACTTGAAAATTAATCATGATGACAGAAAACGTGATACACTTTTAAATAAAAAGCAAAAAAAATAGGTTAATGTGCTCTTCTTGAACTGATTCAGAGAAGAGATTACTTCAACCACTCATTTTCGGAACAAGGCACAGAAGGTTGAATTGTAATTTTTGCTGTTTCTGATTCAAATATTGCATTAGATTGTCAGGTTCTCAATGTAGCCATTAAGTCCATTCTAACTAAATGTGTATGGTATACCTTTTCCTGAGGCATTAGCAGAAAATTTCGTCCATGATCCAAAGATCCTTGACCTTCCTTGCCTTCAAGAAAGCAGGATGTAAGGCTGGATGTTACTGAATTGTTTGGTTCCATTTCCTCCTCTCCCACACCATTAGAACTTCTTTTAATTGTTCTACTATTGTAATCCTTACTAGCTGCCCAGAGTCTTTATTAGTGGTAGCCAAGAAAGTTGAAATTATAAATAAATAAATGTTGCTGTTATTGGCCAACTAGAAAGTAGTGTTAGCACTAGCTATCCATGTTTCAACTGAAAAAGTTGGTGGGATTGGATTGAGTGGGATATGTTTTTGTGTCCATGCAATGAATGAATGTTTAGATTGATAATTTGAAATCTTGACCAATTTTTAATTTTCTTGGCTTATTAACGCTATTAAAATTATATAAATAGCTAATTAGCAAATAACTTTTCAATTGTCTGGTTGAGGGGAAATTGTTCATAGTTAATTCTGTTCTCCAATAACAAAGTATGTTTAATTTATAGCTTTGCTGGTGGAACATGGGATTGGGAATATTTAGGATTTGCATCCCCTGAGGTAATTTTTGTCATTTTTAGTTATATAAATTTACTTATTACAGAAATAATTAAGGAATTTCACTTTGCATGAATAGCTTCCCAATGTTGTTGCAAATTGTACAAAAGTTTGCAAGGTGTGGATTGACTTTCTATTTTTTGTAGCTTTACAATGCAAGGATTTTTTTTTCCTATCCAGTGGTGAATAATATATAACATATAAATTTCTGTCCTTAAGGGTTTGATCGGCAGCCTGGTCTTCCAGCTTCTCAACGTCTGCTTGAGTTCTGGCAGGGCAAATGGTGATAATTGTCACAACTGAAATAGAATTTTGAACTTAGTTAAACGAATGAGAGCAATTATGTTCTATCCCTTGCAAATGAAGCTCCCTACTTCCTCCTGATTGTTAGAAAATGAACGCTGCAATCAGGTTGTCATGGCAGAGCAACCTTGCCAACAGTGTACCACAAAACAACAGTCACTTACCGAGCTGGCTCCTGAATTGAGTTTACTATTTAGCTGTTGTTTGGTACATAATTTTCATTTTTTAAATTTTTTTTAATGCTTCTTACTTGGCTACTGTCTTGTAGTTACAAGTATTTTAAAATCTTGCTTTTAATGAGCACAAATATGTTCCTGTAAGACCATTTTCTGCCCAGGCATTGGATCACAAACAAAAAGCTAATGTAACATTGTAACAGATTAACCAGAAGAGTTTAACTTCCTTTTTGTATCATGGATATATATTTTTTTTACATCTGTTGTGTGATGGCTAAGATTTTTATCTTTCTTTGTGCTCTTGGTATCTTACCCATAAAGTTGATACTCCTACACAGAGTTCACATAGGAAACATCTAGGTGGAAAGTCAATGCCTTTTCTTTCTTTTGTCCCTTTGCCCTACAGTTTTCTCCCTTCCGTTTTCCCTCCTTTGTTTTCTTATTACTGTCTTTTGTATTTTTGTATTTTATATTACATTCAGATAAACTAATAAATTTTTTGAAATACAGGAAACATTTAGTGGTGTGAAAGATCTTTTGGCAGGAATATCTTTATCCCAGCATGCGTATTCCTGGTGGTAGTTTCTATCTTTCTCTAGGCAGTTTCTTTTTTTACTGCAAAACAAGCAATTGCATCTGGATTTTTCTTCTCAGAGAACATTTGTTTCCTCTTGTTTTCCTTGTGGATGACAATTATACATGTTTTGTTTTATCTTTGTAAATCTTTTCTTTTTCAAAAAATTATTGTTTACTTTACGTGCAACTCATTCCAACCCGCACCATTCAAGAGATTGCAGAGTTTGTGGCATATAAAATAGACTTCAGGAAGTATTCCAACTATAGACAATCTCTCTGCCTTATCTGTCTTGTGTACATTGCCACTACTTCACTAAATGAGTTGGAGGATTGTACTTCTGAAAATGGGGGTGGATCATGATTATAGCAACCTCTTTTCTGGAGTTGTAATTGGTAATATTTATTTTGGAACTGAGCATTTCCTTCTTTTTCATAATTTTATTGAAAATTTTAAAAATGAAGATCAAAACTAATACTAACTAATATACATAAGGAGGAAAAAAAGAGATAGAAATAAAAGAAAAGCTAAAAAAAGCTAAAAACTGAAAGAAAGGGGGGAAATAAAAAAGAAAGGAAAAAGATAACAATAAGATGTGGTTTCAGTCTTCTATACAGCAGCTATAAGTACAATTTATAAATTTACCTCTTTTTCTAAAGCCTCAATATGACTCTCTTCTTTCTATAATCTCATGTCTAATCATCAAAACCATAAACCTATGTCCATTTTTTCTGTTATATGCAAAAAGTCCATAAAGGATTTACAATCAACAAAAAACATGATGATGTCTTTTCCCTAATGAAGTAAATCAGTTTGGCCATCTCAGCAAATTACATCATCTTCATGAACCAATCTTCCATTATAGGTATTGCTGAAAGTTTATAAATACAGTACAATAATCTGGCTCTACTTGTCATATTAAAAAAAATCAGAGTTTTGAGACTTTTTCCAACTCTTTGTTCATCAATTCCAGAAGAAAGATTTCTGGTCTCAAATTGTAAACTTTAAAATTCTCTGAATCAGTGTATTTGAATCCAAAATTTTCTATACTTCCACCAAGCAAGATGAAAGGTACTTCTTATTGTTCATATTTACAATGTAATTTTGAAGTGCCTTTACACATTTTAGACAATATTGTCTGATGAAAGAGTGAGTGCTGCTAAGGCTTCTAAATCCAAGTTACCTGCAAAAGCCCTTAACTTGTAAGCTATTTTTTTATATTTACTTCCTAAATCTTCTTATCCTGTCTTATAATTCAGTATTTCAAGAACCAAAATAAACAAGATAGGACATACATGTCCTGCTCCTTTCTGTATCCTTTGTTTGATATCCATTAGCAGTTATTCATGCTTCCTTTGAAGTATAAATCATTCTTACCCATTTTATAAAGTTCTTTCCAAAGTTCATTATCTTACAAAATTTTGAACAAGAAAGCCACATCCAAGTTATTCCAAAACTTTGAACAAGAAGGTCCAATCCAAGGACTACTACACATCTAAGAAAATCAAGTGGCTTATTTTTCATTATACCAAATATTCCAAAAGGTCCAACACATTTCTAATAGTGTCCTTTAACTATATTTTAAGTAAAAATCCATATTAATCCCATGAATACATTCTTAAAAATTACTTTTAGTTTGTCAGTCAGCATTGTTGTAAACAACTTTTACTCATTATTCAATAATGATTCAACTATACTGCCTTGTAAAGCCAAATTTTGTTCCTCTTTAAGTATTACTACCATATTAGCCTCTTTCCAACTTCCTTGCGTTTTCACTCCCTGTGAGATATTCATTGTGCTGTATTTTGTAAAACTTGTAAAAATTCATCCTCAGAATATTTATAATAAGAACCTAGTAATCTATCCAGTCCAGGCACCTTTTCAGCTAATCTTTTTTATAGCTTCACAAACTTTCCTTATTGTTATAGATCCATTCATAATTTGTTTCTGTACTTCTGTAATCCTCAGTAAAATTTAGGAATACATCTATGTTCTTCAGAGATATGTTACTTGCATTATACAAGTTGAAATAATATTGATGAAATGCCTTCCATATTATTATGCTATCCATTAATACAGTGTCTTCCATTTGTAATTTCAGCATTATTTTCTTTTTTGTAATTTATATGCCAAAAATGTGCCTGGTTTGTTTGTAAACTCAAGGATATATATTTTTTGGCTTTATATAGTACATTTTTATTTCCATTTCTCTGTTAACATAGATAACAATCTTTGTAAAGTTTTATTTTGTTGAGACATGCTTGCCTTGTCTGGAAATTTATTTAATTTTTCTTCTTTTCTCCTTATACCATCCAAAATAGCTTGTGTTTTCTTCTGCCTCTTTTTGTTATCATTTTGTCTTATTATGTTGTTTTATTATGTTGTATAAAATAATTTCTGTTAAAAGTTTACTTTTGTTCCAAACAATTCTTAAATCAATACTTTTATCTAAATTATTTCTAAAAAAAATTTTTTTTTACAATCCTCCACTATTTCTTATTTCTATAGAATTTAAGAACTGGATTTTCTTTCACAAATTCTAGGATTATGATCCAAAAAAGTCTTTGGCAGTATTGGTACTTTAGAAACCTTAATATAGTAGCCACATCATCTCTATCTTAGAAAAGCATCTTGTTTTTCAGAAAAAGTAGGTATATTCTCTTGAATTGTTGATTCTATCTACATATATCAATGATCCCTAAACCATCATCAAATCAAATAAAAAGTTGGTAATTTGCCTTGAATTAATTTTAATATTCTTCTCAGACCTTCTATCTAGTTGTAGGGAGACTATTCTGGAATTGAGCATTTCTAAACCAGGCCCAAGGATGATGTTTTTAAATAATCTCTGGTTCAGGTGGTCACATCATCAGCAATCCCATTTTCCAGCACTTTTCCCCGATTCCAGGAAATTCATTTTCATTGCATTAAGAGAAGCAACTGATAAAATCTAAGTGGCATTCTTGAACAGAAAGGAAATAGATAATAAAAAAACCTCTTTCTATATTTTTAAGCTGTATGGATATACCAGAGAGCAGGCTAGATTTTGTTTACCCTTAAAATGCAAGGCTTCCGTCTGCTGTGGTTTTAACAGTGATGGCCATTTTTAGCATTTAAAGTCTTTTCTGGGAATCCCAAGAGTCAGTGATTTCACAGAATGGCATATACTAATTTCAGTTGCTGCAAAAATTAGATGTTCTAACTCAATAACAGCATTTTAGTATTTTATCACAAAAGATTATTCCCTTGGTGTTGGTTAATTATTCCATTGATTTCTTTTCAAAGGAAGTGATGAAAATGTTGGCTTCAGCTTAAAGGGCACCATTATTCATATATGTAGCCAAATGGATGAGTTAGTCCACTTCTAATCTTGTTAGAGATCTTTGAATTACTTTCTACAGTCTATATTTCACTATTTCAGTATTTAATTTCACTTACTTTTCAAGAATCTTTTATTAAAGTTATGTGATGGTGGAAATGGTAGCTATTTGATTGTGAGCCCTTATGATTTGATCACCTTATTTCTACACTACAAGAACTAAACATGTTGATTTTATTTAAAGTATCTTCACAAACTTGTTTCTGCTTCCTTCCAACTACTTGTCTTACCTGCTTCATATTCTTCTACATCATACCCTAGGTATTTATAGAGCATTAGATTTTTGTATGGATTGTATTACTTCGGATATTCATATGCTATCAACGTTCGCTAACCTTACATCAGAGTTTTGCAAACTGACTACCTGCCACCTTGTAAGCAGAGATCTTCTTATAGAAAGTATTCCAAACTTATTTTCTTTTCAATAAGCTTAAGTAGCTGCTTGATCAGAACCTTCACTGTTCATTCAATATGATGAGGGGGGAGTGGAATTACAGAAAATATTTTGAGAGGGTAGTGCTCTTTTGTACGTATGTGTTTGGGCATTCCCTCGTATCTCTGTTGATGTAAGCTTGTTACTTAGCTTTATGAAAGAACTAGAGAGACTATGGATTAAAAAAAAAAACAGATTGCTTACTTCTGACTGTAGTTCTTCAGATCTGTGGAGACACTCAGATATTATCTCCTCTACTGACGTCTCATAAGGACTCGTTTTTTTCAAGGGCTGACCCAGTTTTGGGAAATTAAAGGAACAGGTGGAAATTATGATCAAGTGTACCCATTTGGTGGTGAGTGCTTCCAGCAAAAAACACTATTGCAACCATGACATAGTTCCTATGCAGGAGCATTATTCACATGTGTATAAGCATAGTTGACTGTGCCCTTTTATCTTTAGCATTTTGTTTTTGATCTGTGCCTTACAATTAGCACCATCATTTCTATGAACGAGTTCATCGTACTGTTGCAAGATAGCACAGTAGACTGAATAAAAACTGGAAAAATGAACAGTGGAGAAACACTATCCATATAGTTATGAGAATCCAATTAGCCCCAGCCTAATGTGTCATCAGCAAGAACAACAAAAGATTACAAAATGAAAAGGAAATTAAAAAATAAAACTTGCTAATTCCAGGCACGTGAAATATAAATATGAAAATAACTGGGATAGAGAGGAAGGGATTTTTTCTTCTTCTTCAATCCTTTCTTTAGGATTGTTTTGTGATTTATACTATTGCATACTTATGCATATTTCCTTTTTATAGTCACTGGATAGCATTATGCTTGCAAGACTATAGTTTGCTTCTTATATTCAAATAAACTGGCTGGCTTTTCCCCCCAATAATTAAATGTTTGCAATGAAACATTTTAATTATTCAAAATCAGTGAATCTTATTTGAAGTTTGCACTGCTGTATAACTGGTATGAGAGAAATTAATAATTTTATTTGAGAATTTGCCTGTTTATTATATAATGCTAAACAATGAAATTATTACCTAAACTAAGCTTGATCAATATTTAAGCAAGATGAGAATATTTTTGAAAAGTTGAAGCAAGTTAGTAAAAAAAAAGTCACCTTAGAAGCATTGGATGAAAAATTTGTCTAATTCAGAATTTTTATTATTGACTAGACCAACAATTTTTTTCCAAGAAACTCCTCTGAACTATTTCGTGCATTTTATATCACTGACAGCATCTGATTGTGGTATTAGTTAGAAAAAATAACATTATAATGTACAGTCTTTTCAAACCCACCCACCCCCATCCATTAGCCATCACAGTCTGAATTAATCAGAAACTAAAGCTAGTTATGCTTATATGAAATATATATTATTTCTGGACAATTAATAAATATTACTGATATTTATGCCTATGATGACTCCTCATATGTCCTCCACTGAGTTCCATTGCAATTGGGGATGTGTGCTGATATTTTTGACCTGTGTTCTTGATTTTTGAAATAAAGAATACTTATCAATTAGGACTAGGTGCACTTCAAAAGTAATCTGGGCTGCAGATTTCTGTGGCCCTTCAAAAAAAAAAAAAAAAAGCCAAAGCCAAAAAAAAAGTGACTCTGAAAATAATTCAACTATCACCCTGTTTCATTTTGAACAAAAAATGTTCCAGGATTTCACAGAACTGTAAGTCAAGGTTTTTTTTCACATTACATGATAAGCAGTTGATGGAAAATATGCTGATTAGATCAATTGAACATTGAACATTTCTGAATATGATTGATTCATGACACTGAGTTTGCTAGAATGCTTAATCCAAAGATATAATTTATCAATATGACACTTGCTAAAACTGCTGCAGGTTATTTTGGTAATTAACTCATAAAAAAAGAACACTTGATAGACTGAACTAGTAGAGTGTTGCTGAGTGTTTTAACAGAGACATTATCAGGCAATTTTTGTTGGCAATACTTATTTTATTATATCAAGAGAAAAGCAAAGAGGGAAGCAAAAGTCTGTTCATCCAGTCTGCTACATTGTTATCAGTGCTGATAAAAGAAGAATAAGAGCATACAATATCAATTTGGATTTTATACACACACACACACACACACACACCACACACACACAATCGACACACACACAGTTATATATAAAATAATATGTGCATATATTATACTAAGCTGATTAGTTTAAATTAATAGCCTTGAAATACTCATAAAAATGCAACCAATCATGCAGCAGTAGCAGCTTCTTTGATCTTAGCTGAATTTATTTAGCAAATTTATGTATTTTTGGAGTTTTATTTACCAAAACTGCATGGTGTTGGTTGCTACTTAGTTATTTACTTTTTATGAAACAGGTGATTTTATAATGCATAAAATCACAGGGAGTATTTTTTTTTCCCCATTAAGCTTGTTTGTTGTGCTCCAAATATATTACTGCATGCTTCCCTGTATTTTGTAACGTTTGGTTTATGCAGGAATATGCTGAATTTCAGTATCGGAGGAGACACAGACAGCGCCGACGTGGAGATATGCAGAGTCTGCTGAGTAATGCTCCAGATCCTGATGATCCAAGTGAGAGTACACTAGGTAACCTTTTTCCTACAGTGTCTTTATTTTCCTTTTAACCAGCTTTTATTTAATCAGAAGTTTAATGGTGGGCTATCATTCAGTTGTTTTTCAACAAAAAGAAGTGATTAGTTAACACAATTACCATATTAATTGCCAAAGAGAATCCCTTCTTTTAAGTCCTCAAAAGAAAAGTGAAATATTTAAAAAAAGGTACCATATTTCTGACTTTCAAAATGAAAATTAGATATAGCAGTATGCTTAACAAATGTAGGATTCTCAGAATTTATTAGATTGCATAGAGATGGAAATGTAATTTTATCTTTCATAATAAACTGAGAATTAGATAACTTTTCTCCTTTCTACTATTTTAGAAAAGTATGAAGCATCGTTTGAGGTGCATTCTATTTTGGTCGTTCATATCAATATATCTTGATATTTCAGAAATTTGTCTTTTTATTTTTATTTAACATTTTTAAAAGTTAAATAAGAAATAGAACCATCTTTAAATTTTAAAAAATAGACATCAAAGGAAAAACTAGAAAATAGAAAAGACAAGAATACAAACTAAACCCCCAATCAACAACATTAACTAAAAAAGAAAAGAAAAAATAAATCTATGTTACATTTTATACTTATCAATAGTCACTGGTTTGTGACTATTGAAAAAATATTGTAATGTAATCAGTACAAAATGTTATTGTAAAGTATCAAAAAAAATCTCTGATACAGTAACACATATTGCTTTATCCTTTGATTAGTAGAAAATGCTATTTTTCTAAATACTAAAAAAGTACTATTTATATACTGTATTTTTCGGAGTATAAGACGCACTTTCTCCCCCCAAAAAAGTGAGTGGAAAAGTCTGTGTGTCTTATACAGAGAATAAGGGGAGGGGGTTTGGTGTGCTGCTGATCAGCTGTTCTAGAATGGGCTGCAGTGGTGAATGGGCCACACTGAAAGGGCAGTGGCGGTGGCAGCAAACAGGCCAGATGACTAACGGATGGATGTTGGGAGGCAGATTTTTTTTTTCTTGTTTTCCTCCCGAAAAGCTAGGTGCATCTTATAATCTGGAGCGTCTTAAAGTCCGAAAAATATGGTAATAGTAAATACTAAATACAAAGAATAGAAGATACTAATTTTCCTTTTCCAGAATAGATATTCAACTATCATTCCCTGACATCTGAAATAATACCAGTATTACACTTCCAATTTTTCAATATAATTCTTCAAGTCACCTCCCAGCTTGATGTAGTTTAGTGAGATCTAGTCTTAGACACAAAGACAACTGAGTGACCTTGGATCAGTCATTCTCTCTCAGCCTGAAGAAAGCATTGGGGAAATCGAAAATCTTGCCAAGAAACATGGAGATGCTAATCTAAGCAATCACCATGTGTCAAAGCCAATTGAAGACATGCCCTCCCCAAAATTATTAAAAGAATATTTGCTAGGGGTGTGTGTGTGAGAGAGAGCGACAGAGACAGAGAGAAGGATATTTTAGTCTCAAGTATTCTATAGCATCACGTTAATTCAAAATTCCTAGAAAAACATCCACTACAAAAAAGTGTTGGGGAGGGGGAGACAAAAGTACACTCCTTGTTTTAATTTGTAAACTTTCTTTGAGCAGATACTCAAGAAGCCGGCAGTAACAGAAGACACGGTAATTCCATGGTGAGTTCAGCTTCCATGAGTATACTTCACAGCTCTTCTCTTCATGACTATACTCCTGTTAGTCGCTCTGAAAACCAGGATTCTCTGCAGGTATAGTCTTTTATCTTTTCTTTACTATTTTATTTCTTTAGCTTGTTATCTATCTTCTAACTTCATCAGCTTATTAGAATATATATATATATATTATTATTATTAGTTATGGAACTGACTACATAACAGATTTCAAATAGAATCTTAGCCGAAATAATCATCATTGATTATACTGGCATACAGTATATAGGCATTTCTTAATTTTGATATCTCTTATAGGCTCTGAGTTCCTTGGATGAAGATGATCCAAACATACTTCTTGCTATTCAGTTATCATTGCAAGAATCTGGCCTAGTTATTGACGATGAAACTAGAGACTTCCTGACTAATGAAGCTTCATTAGGAGCAATAGGTACTTCTTTGCCTACAAGGTTAGACTCTGGCCCTGTAAATGTAGATAATCCAAGAGCAGCTCTAAGTAGCACTGAACTTTTAGAACTTGGTGATAGCCTGATAAAATTAAGTGCAGACAGTGATCAGTTTTTGACAGACCATCTTAGCTCTCGCACTTTCAATAATACAAGAAGTGGCTTATATTCAGCATCTGGTGAATCTGACTCAGGTAGCCAAGATCTTAATATAAATGAAAATCTCCTTGGAAACATAATGGCTTGGTTCCATGACATGAATCCTCAGAGTATTGCACTCATTCCTTCCGCAATTACAGAAGCAGATGATGATTCACAGCAACCCAGTACTGAAGAGAGGTTAATGGAGCAGCCACAAGTAAGACAAGATCTTCTAGAGGAAAATGCACCTTCTGAAGATGCAGTCAAAAATGAAGGCAGAAGCACTCAAAGGGAAGAAGGTGCTACTGCTGCTGGAGACATTAGTTATGGAGAAACAGTTCCACAAAGCGAAGAGGCTTCTGGAGACACGAGCAGCCAAATTGTAAATTCAGATGTTTCACGTCAGACATCTAAAACTTCAGCTGAATGGGCTGAACATGTGCATTTGGTGTAATCACAAAAAGTCTGGGGGGAAAAATGAATAGTTTGTGGAGCCAAAATGATTAGGCAATTATCAGTGGTATAATATATAGTGGAAACTTTGACCAATCCTAGCAGAGCTCAGTTGTTTACCCGAATTGTAAAAAATGGGATAAATAGAAATTTCCTAGGTGTTCTTTATGAAGCTTATTTGAACCTTTCAGGGAATTTCTATTGCATTGGACAGTAAAGCGGCTTGCTTGTTTGGAGGAAGTAGAAAGCTTGTACTCCATGTTCCTAACACAATACATTATCTATTTAGCCTTAGGCTGATGATCCTTAACTGAAAGGGGAGATTAAAGGCTTCCTTAGAGAGTCATTTAAAACATTTTCTCCTTTTTCTCTTATTTGTCTTATCCTTTAAGAAGGTTTAGCACTAAAATTATGTTTTGCTTTCCCCAATTAATCAGTAATAGTATGAACTGAGGTAAAGTGAACCTTTTCTAATTATACTTTTCATGTTTATGTACCAGTATAAATGTGCCAAACTGAGCAGCAAATCAACATAAAAAATATGCAGTATTGGGTTTTTTATGCTAACTCTTATTTTTAAGGATGTAAAGAATACATACATATGCACAATGACATGCACATGTACACATACACATATATCTTTTTTTAAATTTCACTCATATTTATCACCATTATGATTGCATTAACATAATTTTATTTTAATTAAATCTAATTCTGCTATTAAAGACAGTTATTTTAAACAGCCAAGTTGGCTCAGTTGAAAAGACATTTTAACAGAAGTGCAGTCTTTTCTATTTATTCTCTGCACTTTGAGTGCAGTTGCTTTGAGCAGTAACATTTTACAAAACAACAAAGTCTGCAACTTTCTGAAGCTAGAGACAGTCTCCTTGCCCGCCCTCCCCCCCCCCAACCTAGGAAAGATTAATAATATCACAAACATGTTACTGTGCCTTTGCCTAAGCTAAATAGATAGTTGACACAGTTAAATGAATATTACTTATCTGTTCTGGAGTATACTATGGTATGCTATGAACTGCAGAAACCTCCATAAAACCACTCATGGCCTTTCCTTTCCACTCAATACCTATATAGGGTATAAGCCTTCCCCATACAGGTATAGCATGCACACCTAGAAGGATCCCCATAGGATTCCAGAGAGCCTTATTTTTTCTCCTTCTCTCCCTATCCTATCTTTGTCAGCATGCATTTGAGGGCAGTACAGCATATGTGAGTATCTGTGTGTGCCTCTTATATCTCCATCCAGCCTACTAGTTTCACTCTGTGAGGTTGTGTGAGCTTCAGCTGAAAAGAGAGGGGAAACACAGGAATAAGAGAGTGTGTTTCCAACACACACACACTCTGCAAAGTGGGTGTCAAATTCAGCTGTTCAGACAAATTCCTTATTTGCAGACACTATAGCTGTGGTGGGAGTATCATACCTTATATGTCAACATTTTTACAGAAATAATTAAACACTACAATGTATTCTTTTCAATTGCACAATATTCATTTAGTGTATGATTGGTGTTTCATATTTTGTAAAAATAATAAAAACAACCCCAAACCTTCGCTAATGGTGTCCTACTGTGAAGAAAAGTTTTGTTGAAATTGGCTTAAAAACATCAAAACCTCATTGTAAATTAGTGATGCAGATTGTAACTTTAACTAGAAGTAATTGTTTTAAATTACTGTTTTGCTTGCAAATAATCAAAGTCTAGGTTAACAGAAGTAAAATGAATGAAATACTCCATTTCTTTTTTGTTTGACTTGATATGAAAGATTGGTTACGTCTGATACAAAAACTTGCTACTGATTGTGTACAGTAAGGTATTTTGATGGCAGAAAAGGTATATATATTGATTACTGTGTGTTACAAAAAAAAGTGTTAAATCCTTCATTTAAGCATAACTGTTGGGATCTTGCAATCCCTGTGGCTCATAAAATTAAATATTAACTGTTTAATCCATTTAAAAAAAACTGTTTCTTGACATTTATTTGGAAGGAGTAGTCTGCTTCTCTGTTATTATATGCTGTACATCCATTATATTTTTAGCTTGGCTTCTAATTGCCCTGTCCTGAAAGTATTGATGTTGAATCCCTTTTTCTAGCCTTGGAAAATTATCTCTTTAAAAAGCTATTACAGAATCCTTTTTAACTTAAAATAGATCTTGACACTATCGTCACTAATTGGTCTTACATATTTTAAATACACATACAGCTTCCTTGAATTTTAATTTCAAAATAGAATATCACATGGTTTTGTGTATTGCATTAAGATGTCTTGCAAAGCTAAGAGAAGATATGTATGAGTGCTTTCTGTGATGATAGTGAAGTTTGTGGGTTCTGGTTTTCTGTAACTTGGTTTAAATTGTGAAGTATACTCCATTGTAAAATTTATTCTGAGCATGAAATTTAGCATATTAAATTTGTATTTTCTTGATACTTATTTAAAATTTAAGACCAGCCCCCTAACTGAATTTAGAATTCTGAAAGAAAGTTTGGCAAGCCTATTTTGTAAACCAATTAATTTTATAAAGAAAAACAAAACTACTATAATCTTGAAAATGGTATTTGCACTTTCATAGTATATACTTGATACATTCCCACTTTATATACAGTAGGATATTACAACCGTATAGATGTTTGGCCAAATGAATGCTATTAATAATATGTAAAATTTTTGATTAAACATTTATTACTTAAACTAATTCTTTTATCTCCTGTATTTCTTTACCAAATATTGTTTTAGATGAAAGAATGGTGTTTGGAATTTAAAAAAAGCTCACACTGGTATGCATCAATTTTCTGTGATTTTCTAGCAGAGTGTTTCACTAATAATTCTTATGCTGCACAGAAGTAATTTGTTCTTGCATAAAGTTGAACATTATCTGTAGTACAGGTAATGGAATTACAATAAATGGACTTACAACCATTCATTTAGTGACCATTCAAAGTTACAACAGCACTGAAAAAAATGACTTATGACCAGTTTTCACACTTATGACTGTTGCAGCATCCCCATGGTCATGTGATCAAAATTCAGATGCTTGGCAACTAATTTATATTTATGATGGTTGTAGCGAGTCAGGATCATGTGATCCCCTTTTGTGACTTTCTGACAAGCAAAGTGTAATTCACTTAACAACCATGTAACTAATTTAACAACTGCAGTGATTCACTTAACAACTGTGGTTAAAAATGTTGTAAAATTGGGGAAAATCCACTTAATAACTGCCTCACTTAGCAACAGAAAATTGGGGATCAGTTATGGTCATAAGCCGAGGACTACCTATAAAACCAAACCAAACCCAGTTAAGCAGAAGACATCTGAACACAGAAATTGGAATCTTGAGATCAAATCCGCTATTCTGTATTTCAAACATTGTATCTAAAAGTAAATACTATGAAGAGAAATAGGCCAAAGATAATTAAGCATTTAACATCTGAAACTCTGATGAAAATAAATAGCACTGTTAACAATTCTGCTTAGAAAAACCTCCGTTACTTGGAACATTTCTTAAACTGAAACCAGAAAGGAATGCTGATTGAAGTGCAATTTGCCCTCAGATATCAACTACTCATTCATTCAAAATGTTTATTTTTAACAGATGTACCATGTTTCCCCAAAAATAAGACCCTGTCTTATATTTTTTTGAACCCTGAAATAAGCGCTTAGCCTTATTGCCATGTGCTCAAAAGCCTGATTGGGCTTATTATCAGGGGTATCTTATTTGGGGGGAAACAGGGTAATAAACATTCTAAGAAGGGTAAACAAATAGAGTTGATGTCAATCTTTATTTTCATATTAGATTATCTTAAGTCTTTCAGAAATACTACATGTGGATAATTTTATTTACATTTTCACATTTTCTATACTACGTCTACAAGTAGCCCTTGGTTAATGTGGGTAATTGAGATCAAAATTTCTGTCGCTAAATGCAGTTGAAAAATGAAATTTTACATGACCAAGTATATTAGTAACAGCAACCCTGGTAATACCTCGGGAGTTGGGCGGCATAAAAATGTGACAAATAAATAAATAAATAAATAAATAAATTCCCTATTGCTGTCATTAAATGATCACACTGGGCATTAGGCGAGGACTCAAGCCAAGCCAAGCCATTCCCAGCTTAGTCCCTGTCAGTCCTCAACCTTGGTAAAGTAATGGACTTCCTCCTCTTCAGTTCCCCACATTTGCCTATCTCTCCCCCATCTCTGCCATCCTTTAGCCATCCTGTATAACAGCACTCCTTGGTGGTGGCAGCACTGAGACCTTCAGCATTGTCAATTGGCCACCACCATTCCTGGACCTTTAAATCAGCTCCAGTACACCCACCACTGCCAGTCAGGAGTGCTGCCTCAAGCCACAGCCAACAGCCATACCTATGCCACCGTGCAAAACTCTACTCAACCTCATCCTGCCAGCATCGGCAAGGAATGCCATCGTGCAGGATAGCCCAAAAAAATACTAAGATGGGGGTGGGGGAGAGATAGGTGCTAGAATGCCCCTGAGGCTGTTAAGAGGATGAATTTTTATCATGTGACTGCTGCATCAGCCATAACTTTGGGAACTAGTTGAATAGATGGTTATTAACCAAGGACTAACTACATGAATTATATTTGTTCGGTTCAAATTTTCATGATATTATGGCATAAATTCTATAAATGTTTCATAAATTCTATTTTTTTTTTCTGCCCGGAAGTTCTCTTGAAACTTTTACTTTGGTACAGTCTTCTTTATTCAACCTATACGGCATGCTTTTCACTTCATGAAACCAACAAATCTCAATATAAATAAAAACAAATTGAGAATGTCAATGTAGACATTCAGTACTGCAAATACATATTCATCTGGATTCAGTCGGTAATGATGTCTCTTTCCCAGCATTAGTTGTGTGTCGACCAACAGGTACTTTTAAAAAAACAAGAAAAGAAAAATGCAGTTATTGCCTTTATGTTACTAAATCTTTGTCTCACTTGTCACTGAAGGTACAATTCTTTTTAAAAGCAATTATCTAGCATAACAGTTTGCATAATTAACTGTTTTTATCACCTTAATTCTCGAAGGTCTAGTTAAGTGATTTTAATATTTTAATGTGGTGAAGCTCTGTATTAATAAAAACAATCCCATTTTGTGGTAATTATTGTTAGAATTTCTAATACAATGATATCATCTTAAGGTTTGTATTCAGAAAAATAAACTCATTAGAAACTAAGCAAAACAGATGGCCATAAATCTGATGACCTGATTCAGATAATCATTTAAATCATATTTTTTTACAGAAATAAGCTGTAATGAGTTTCAGTCTTGCACAGAGCTGTTTGCCTCTCACTCTATGTGGTATAGATTCAATCTGTAGCTAATTTAAATTTAAGACTTACTATGCCAAAAAGAAGTGTTCCAATACCAGAATAAAATACTTCGTTCAACTGCAAAGTAAGAATTAAGAATTAAAATTAAGCAGGAACAAAAGTAACTAGGGTTCCTTAAAAATCTATTAGTATCCATATGATCCTCACACAGGAATACTTTGGTGTTCTCCATTCCCTAGAAGACAAATATTTTCCTTGGATTAAAGATTTGGCATAGATTGAAGTTGAAGCTTCTTGTCTAAGAGTTGTACTTCTTTTAGTTTCAAAATGAACAGAACCAGTGATCTATGTCTGCTCTACCAAACTCGTGTCCTGATACTTCAGGAAAAAAACCAAGTTTTTTTGACAGTGTCAGTTAAATGAGGATCCTATGGTAATGACAGTTAATGTACCATCCCTACTTGATGATTTGGTATTCTTCAGATGTTTCTACCCTTCTTCATTGGTATGCTTTGTAAAGCTAAGACAGCAGAATGCTTCACTAAATTGAGCCTCACTCCAGGTCATAAGCCACAAAACCTCTTCAGAATATGGTATGACACTCTTCATCTGTTATATCTACCCCTTTGGGAGTTATCAATTAATCTACCATGATGGGACTCCTCATCCAAATAATTAGGTTATATGAAGTTGCATGCTAGCTGGGCCCCTTCCTAGCTCACTTTTTGCATGTGGGCACTTCATACATTTATTCCAAAAATATGCCATATTGGGGTCACCTTTCTATCTATTCTATGTAGAGTATTGCTCCCCAGGTTCTTTCTTTTTGCTAGAGAGCATTAAATAGCATTAAACTATTTTTGGCATTATACTTTTACCTGCTTATCAATTCTTGTTTTTTTGCCCCCGTATACGTTTATGTTTTGTTGGTTAAGTGTCTGCATATGTTGTCAGCAAAAATTCCACATATAAAAGTTAAATGTGGTAGTTCTAATGAAACTATACTAATCTTCCAGTCAAAAAAACTCATCAAATTTTGCCTCCAATTGCATTGAAAAGGCAGTGCCATATAACCTGTATTACCAGGAGACTCCACATGATTGTGCTCAGCTGAATTTGGAAGACCAAAGGCTGATTTAGCAGAATTAAAAGTATTTGCAACCATAATTAACGTATAAAAGCTAAAATGATTATAGTTGTATTCTTCCTTAGCTAACAGCTTATGAAGTTAAGAGTAAAATAGGTAAAAGAAAAAAGTAGTGAGAAAAATAGATATAAGTACTTCACTTACTTGTGATTGCAGAAAGTTACAAAGAACTCCAGTAATTGTCAATGAAAACAACAAGACTAGCAATATTCCAGATGTGATGGTAAGTTGCCACTGAAAAGAAGCAACAATGAAATCAACACATTTTTGTCATCTCACAAATATTCAGATCTAGAATATCTGAATAATAGGATGCATACAAGGAAAAATTCTAAGTAATACATACATGAAGTCCCTACCAAACTTAGTATCCCTGCTTATTTCTTAAATTTATATTTAAATTAAAACAGAACATTGCACCTGGGATGATGGATAACTGCCCTCATGAAGAACCAGGTCTCATCTTGTTGTAAAAGGCAACTTCCAGGAAAAAAATGAGGAACTCAAGACAGCTCCATTAAAAGTGGTGGCCAAAACCACAGCAGACTGAAGAACAGGTGAGTGGGTCGGAGAAAGATGGGACTTTCCACAAGTGCACTAGACCAGTGGTCCCCAACCCCCGGTCCGTGGACCGGTGCCGGGCCGTGGAGTACCTGGCACCGGGCCGCGCAGCGGCCGGGGGACATGAACGCTGCAGCGCAAAGGCTCCTGGGCCGTGCGCAATGGGCCGTGCGCAAAAGCTCCTGGGCCGTGCCCCCACCCCTGCGCGCGCTCAGCGGGCCGCGGCGATAAAAAGGTTGGGGACCACTGTACTAGACAGTTGCTACTCATAAGGAGCATGTCCCGAGTGGAATTAAAGCTTTTCTGAATCTCTCAAAGCTCTAAACCGACCAGAGAAATGCTCCTTGTTGGGTCCAATGATGGTTTCTTGAGGAAGAAGGGCCAGTATCACTGCCTCAGAGATTAATTCATCAGTATTTGGATCCAATTACATGTTTCTCAGAAAGCTTTCAATAGCCAGGAACGACACAGAACTAAAACACAGATGGCTGAACTGACATCTCCATTGGATCCCGTCCACTGCTTTGGGACCAACAATAGCTAAATAGCTTTAATAAAAATCTTCTATGCCATTTTATATCTTGGATGTTTTCCAGCAAAGATTTCCTGTATGTGATAAAAGTATATTTAATTAAGAGCTTAGTTTCCAGGTCTAACTGAAAAACACAGTTTTTCTTCTGCTAAATAGTTTGCACATAGCTTAGAAATACTGTTGAAAACTAATTTGGAGAAATGGAGAAGAAAATTGTGGCTATTAACAGTGGACAGAAAGATTTCCTTTCCCTGTAGTTCAGTTATGTAGTCTGTCATTTGATTCAACTCTCAGAGTTTACAGTTTATTTTAATGCTAATAAATATACTTCAGAAAAAGATGAATCTAAACATTTTCTATTGGAATCATTTTAAAATTTTTATTTTTGGTATTTTTCAAAACATAGACAAATGTTAAGAGCCTTGGTGGCGCAGCAGACTAAAGTGCTGTTAAGTAGCACTTAGCTGCCAGCTGCCTGCAATTACTGCAAGTTCAAATCTCACCAGGCTCAAGGTTGACTCAGCCTTCCATCCTTCCAAGGTAAGTAAAATGAGGACCCGGATTGTGGGGGCAATAAGCTGACTTTTTATAAAAAGAGCACTGCTTAGGGGGGCCCGAAAGCCCTACTAAGCAGGTATATACAGAAGTATGAAGGCTATTGCTTAACGCATTGTAAGCCGCCCTGAGTCTCCGGAGAAGGGCGACATATAAATCGAACCAATTAATAAATAAATAAATAAATAAATAAATAAATAAATAAATAAATAAATAAATAAATAAATAAATGCCAATATGTTGGTGGACCTCGTTTAATGATCATTTATTCAACAACCTTTTGAACATACTAGTTTTTATTGTTCTAATTGTAATCTTTAATAAAATTACTATAAAAATGTAGATTAGTGCTATTTATTTTTATTGGAAATTATTATTTTAAAATAATATCAGGCAAAGGAAAAACAAAAGAAACAAAAAACAAAGGTATAAACATTATTTAAAAATTACATAATGATGCTTAAAAAGTATGTTAAGAAAATACAATAGAAAAAAATGACATTACAATGATTGATAGTATATAATTACAATTCTATATATAATTATCTAACGCAAATATTATGCAGATATAGATATATACATATGTGTACAGGTCTATTTCTAATGTACTTACATAATTAATAACTATCATGATTTTAACCTATATTTTGAATAAATGAGACCATTTTATTATACTTATCCCTACAAATTCTATGTCTATAGGCAAACAACTCATAAGTTGCAAGTATAATCAGGTTTCCAATCCATTGAATAAACAGGGCTGTATATTTATCTTTCTAATGCTGCAATATCATTCTTCTAGCTACAATAAAGACACATAGAATCTATTTGCCTTACCTAGTGGTCAAATTCCATGTGCTGGGAATGTGATTCAAGATGTTATTCCCAAAAAATGTTAGCTTTTGTTACACATTCACATTTTATATTCCACTACTTTCTCCCAAAACTTAGTAAGTATAGGACATTGTAAAACATGTGTTTTTAAGGAAACATCCAACAAAATGCTATTTCTAGAGAATCCTTTTCAAAGATTTTTAATATACAAACATAACTGTGTCCAATGCATTATAAATATTATTTTTGTTGTATAAATTATAGTTTAAGGCCAATTGACATTTCTGCTATAGAAATTAAGACAATATAGGAAATTATTCACTTCACTTTTAGACATTTCTAAAATTCTGTTTTTACTTTGTCATTAGGGGGTACTTAGTGTAAATTAATGAGAAAAAATAATTTTAACAACTGTAGAATCAGGCTGCAATATAACAAAATTGACAACAGTGAAAGGAGTCTGAATACTTTCTGAATGCACTGTAGTTCAAGAGACAGAACATATCTGATTTTTAATTATGATTTAATTGTTCAGATCTCAAATGGTTCTGTAGGACATTTAAACAGTGACTGCTTACTTTTTTCTGAAGAGCAAAAAAATGCAGTCCCAATGTCACTAATGAAGTAGAACCAACAGTCCACATCAAAGTATCTGCATCGAAGAAGCTAAAACCCAAGAACACATAAATATTTCTATGAATCCATAATCACATCAATACAACACAATGCAATTCAATTTATTTATTAACAACTTACGCATCAATGGATCCAAGCCATGTACCCATGAGGATTGTCTAAAAACAAAAATAATTTATTACTACATTATCCATGTATTATTAGTAGTATTGTACATAATAACTTTTTTGCATTTGTTCCTGAAGGAGATTCTTTTCAGTTCAGAAAAAAATTATAATTCATTCTACAATATATAATTTTTACATATAACTTCTCAGACAAAAAAAAACAACCCTACATACAACAGTATTTCTTAGAACAGACTGTATCAATACATTTTGTAAAATTATGGTATACTGTATTAGAATAATTTAGATGAGGGAATAGAAAGGGAGCTCATGAATGTGCAGATGGAGGAAAAAGCCAATGTTTTAGAAGAATCTCAACAGACATGAACACTGGGTCCTATCCAACAAAATGCAGTTCAGTGATGAGAAAGGTAAAGTTTAACACTTAGGCAAGAAAAACCAAAAGCAACAGATATAGAATAATGCTGCTGGCTCAACAACATTAATTATGAGAGGGATCTAGGAATCCTAGTGGATAACCACATAAGTATGAGCCAGCAGTATGCTGCAGCTGCCAAAAAAGCCAACACAGTCCTAGGCTGCATCAACAGAGAGATAATATCAAGATCAGGTGAAGTATTAGTACTGCTATGTACTGTTTTGGTAAGATTACACTTGAAATACTGCATCCAATTTTGGTCACCACAGTACAGAAAAAACCCATTGAGACTCTAGAAAGAATGTAAAGAGCAAAAAGGATGATTGGGGTAGGAGGCTAAAACATATATTGAACAGTTGTGAACTTAAGTAAGTCTTTTCCAATGAAGAGAAGGAGTAGGAATGACATGATAGCAGTCTTCCAATATTTGAGGGCCTGTCATAGAGAAGAGGGAATCAATCTATTTTCCAAAGCACCAGCCAATAGGACAAGAAGTAATGAAAGCTTATCAAAGAGAGTTCCAACCTAGAACTAAGGAGAAATTTCCTGAGAATCAGAGCAATTAATCAGTGAAACAGCTTGTCTCCAGAAGTTATGGGTGCTCCATCCTTGGAAATTTTTAAGTAGAGATGGACAGCCATTTGTCCAGAATGGTACTAGGGGTTGGACTAGATGACTTCCAAGATCCCTTCTAATTCTGTTATTCTGTTATTATTCACTTGAAAAAGTGCAAATGACAACAGAATCAGGTAGCTATTGTATGTTTCAGGTGCATTCCTATATGCAATCATTTATAAAATACAGTTACCCCTGTGCACTATTAATAATAAAAACAATTTGAACTGACTTGTGATCTATCAGTAATGTAGATCTGATTCTAGGGTAGCTAATTATGGTAAGTATATAGCAAAAGTACTCAGGTCAGGATGAGCTAATATAATTTACAACATGCTACAGTAAAAATTAAGAATGGCAGAAAATTAATTTTTAACCGATTCAGTTTGACAACTTTGATAAATGTTCTTATGCTATTTATGCCAACACACTGCATATTCGTAATTGCTATTATACGCAATATGGAGATGAAACAGCATTTTCCCAAAACTTATTTTGGGGATAGAAATAGCTGTAGTATAGAAAGTACAAACTTTTGTTGCTTTGAACTTTATATGAATTAGATTAGCTTTCTCTACCTGATGCTCCTTTAGCCAAGCTGGCTGGGACCTGGGGTAATATTGGCAGAAATTCTGGTCCAGCACATTTTAGTTTGGAATGGAAAATATCACAGTAGACAGTTCTGTTTTCATTTTTACTGTACAAGTAGAGTAGTGCATTATTCAAATTCTAAAGTATTGAGAGCCTAGATGCAGCAAAAAGTAGCAATGACATATATAAAAAACTGATATTAAAATATAATTAATATATGATATAGAGCATTACCTTCAAGAGATACTTACAAATAATGCTAATAAAATGACATTCAAAGGAAATTTTCTTCGTGCTTGATCACAGCATGCTACGCCAATAATCATTAACAAGATTGCTGGTCTAAAATCAGATAAACATACTGCCATCTTTAAAATGCCCTGTTATTTTACAATTGAAATTATAATTTAAAAAATTAACATTCAATAAATAATTACAGATAAAACCACATTTACATTTAATAATTCAATAAAGCCCCTTTAAAGGAAAACAATATAAACGGAATAGAGCTTTACACTTCTTTAAAAGAAATACAGTGATAAAGCTTAAGATATTACAGTAAACACACAATTTCTCAAAGAGCAAACATCAGTTCCAAATTTCACTCTAACCATATTGGGTTAATAATTGATGCAGGTCTCCTATAAATAGAGCTGCTTCTCTCAGTGGAAATTTGAAAGGGCAATTTTCAAACTCACATATACGGCCCCAATGACTTGCACTGAACCTCAAGAGTATTTTTTGGGGAACATGAAAATTTGACAAATGAGTAGAATCACTCCTTTCCCATTTTGGTTAGAAGACTGGCATCCATTTTTAAAATCTCAATAAGAGATTCTATTCTATCTAGTTACGGTGTTAGAACTTTGTCATGATTATTATAAGAATATCTCTGTATCCATAACTCAACTAAAAGACTAATTTACTTTTGCACCTAATTGACCTTGGCTAATTTTTTTTTTATTGAAAAGTTTTACAGAAAAAAAAATTCTTCCCCATGTTCCCCCCACCCTTTCCCTCCCCTCATCTCACCCTCCCCCCCAGACTTTCCAGAGCAAAATACAAGGTATTTCATTTAACAATCATAAATTAGATTAACCTACTTATCCTCAGACTACTAACTCTTCCCCTGAAACCTTAACTCCACTATAGATAACATAATACTTCTAATACTTAACGTTCATTCATAAGCTATTTGATATTTTCTTGTCTGATACTTATTTTGAATATAATCAATCCATCTTCTCCATTCCGATATATATCTTTCTTGTGTATGGTCCTTCAAGTACGCTGAGATTTTCGCCATTTCTGCTAAGTTTGTTACTTTCAGTATCCACTCTTCAATAGTAGGCAAAGAGTCTTTCTTCCAATATTGCGCTACCAACAGCCTAGCTGCTGATATTAAGTTCAAAATCAATTTAGTCTCTGATACTGTACAATCCGTCATTATATCCAATAGGAACAATTGAGGAGTAAATTTCAACCTTCTTTTCAGAATATTCTGCATCACCACCAAATTTTTATCCAAAATGCCTTGATTTTCTTACAGGTCCACCATATATGATAATAGGTTGCATCATTACATTCACATCTCCAACATTTAGCTTGCAAATTCGAGTACATACATGATAATTTTTTAGGATCTAAGTGCCATCTATAAAACATTTTATAAAAATTCTCTCTCAAATTTTGTGCTTGCGTAAATTTAACATTTCTGACCCAAATCTTTTCCCACGTTTCCATCATCACTGGTTCCTGAAAGTTTTGTGCCCATTTTATCATACAATCCTTAACCAATTCCATTTCTGAATCTATTTCCAATAATGCATTATGATATCTTTTTCCATTATAAGTCACTATTAGACCAGTTGGAACATCCCATCTGTATGCCACTTGTTTATTTCTCAGCTCATTTACCAAAAAGCCAAAGTCTTTTCTACTTCTCAGCATCTTTGGAAGAATCTCTTTCAAAACCACCACCTCTTGCCCAGCCACCTGAACTTTATTCTTGTAGGAAGCTTGTAAAATATCATTTCTGATCCTCCTGGTTGTAAAATAAATCACCACATCTCTTGGCAGCTGTCTTTGTCTTGCCAGCCAGGAATTAATCCTGTAAATTTTATCAATATAACTTGCCACATCTTCTGGTCTTTCTTTAATTATCTCTGCAATAGCATCAGCACAAATATCTTTTAAATTTTCTTTGCTGTTTTCTTTCAAGCCTCTCAATCTCAAAGCAAATTCCATGGATCTGTATTGTAACATTACCAGTTCATCATCCAATTTCTCTGTTTTGGTCATTACATCTCCCATTTTGCTTTCCAAATTTAAATTGGCTTCATTAATTTCTTCCACTTTCCCATCGAGCTGGATAACAAGGTTTGACAATCCTGATACAGCATAAACAATATCATCTCTTATTTCATCGTGTTTTTCTGCAACCACTTCTTTAATTGATCTTATATCCTCCTCAACTTTCTTTAATTTCCCTTCCACAAGTACTGTTAAATTATTCATTGCTGTGGCTTGATTATTCATAGCTTCTTTCATTGCTGTTGTTTGATTATTCATGGCTTCTTTCATAAATTCTTTAAAATCATTAAGTGCAGCCTCCTGACTCTGTGAATCAGCCGGAAGTTGTGCTTTCTGTGTCACCACTGACACAACTGGAGAACCTCCCCCTCCTTTAACAACTCCTGGTTTCACTTGTTTAGAAGCCATTTTCCCCCCTTTTAAAAAGATCTTTTTTTTTTCCAAAGCCACAAAGTCCCTTAAACAACTTTAAGATGTTTGTAATTTATAGTCTCTAATTTACCAGGCAAGGTAGCTTTTTTTTTCTCCACCAACTCTCACTTCCCAGCAGTTAATAAGCAGCTAATCCACTCTCCCAGTGCAAAGTTCTCAATAAGCACTTTCGTTTCTGGCTTTCACTTTCAAAACCATAACAAAGACGCCATCATCAGCCTCCAGCTCAATGAAATTCAGTTTGAAACAAAGTAACTTCGGAGTTAAGCTCTGTACTTTTAAGGCTTGTTCTCCTGTTTCCGCTCTGCCTGCACTTGTAATCAGTCAGACTCACTTTTGACAGCAGGATCGGATCGTGGCTTCTCGCTCTGCCTTCACAGACTCGTCCCGGCTTCGGAGCTTCTTGGCGGGCTGACTAGGGAACTCTCACCCTCCAAGCCTCTGGAAATATTCCAGAGGGCTTTTGGGGAGCTCTATTCTCGCCAACCGGCTCTCCTCTCCTACTTTTCCCGAAGGGGAGATTTTTTAGCTGCCAGACAGCCGATTTACGCTGTCAAAACGGCTTTTACGCAGACACAGGGCTGGCGGTCTAAGAAGACCGCCACGAAGCCTGCGGTGCCAACCGGAAGTCCTTGGCTAATTTTTGAGGATAAGCAGGACTGACTACAGGCGGAGAATTTTGGTGGCGGGCCTCCTATAATTAGAGCTATAGATTAGACTGAAAGTAAAAAATACATTTGGAAAAAAATGGCAAATTTCTTCCAATTGCTACCAATAAAATAGTGTGGGTATAATCTCCTGACACTGTGTTAACTCAAGATGACTTTACCTTACAGTCCAATTTACTGAGCATACCACGTCTATTAATTATTTTCATAATAATTAATAATTAATTATTATTTTCATAATCAAATTATTTATGATTTTCATATTAAATGCCAATGTAAATGTAAATTAGCTAGAGAGTGGAATAGAAACCAGAATACTAATAAAGTAAATCATCTTCTCATTGTCACCTTCTCAATTCTATTAATATATAGTTTTACCAGACAGAATTTTATAGGTTCCTAATTGGATCATTGGTTTAAGATACTTGAAGGCAATGGATTAGCATTTATAGCCAAGATAAGGAACAAATAATATAAATTTTTGTTTAAAATATATTCTTTGATGAAATTTTAAACAGGTGATCATCATATATCAAACATACAATGTAATTGCTTAATATTAAGTACTGTATTGTTTCTTAACCTAGAGACTGCAGATAAAATTGGGACTACAAGTAGTTGGTTTGCTTGTTCTGAGATGTTGAATTTTTTATAGTTTTTTTAAGAAACAATACATATTTACTAAGGAGCAGGTTTTAATAATTGACAATTGCATATATAATACTTACAATAGAGAATAGCAAAACCATGGACGTCTCCGAACCCATATTTTAAGGAACTTCCTAGACCAAAAAAATTCAAATATGGTTGCAGAAATATAGAAAGGATACAATGGAAATAGTAATTTATTCAATTAATTTTAAAATATTTCTATCTCACCTTTCTATATTCAGTAGGGATCATAACAATATTAAAAATAATGAGATTTAAAACCCAATAAAATGTAGAAAGCATGATGAATGTTACTGCACAGGAGCTTAATATACAGAAAACATTTTACAATTATTATATTTAAGAATAATTTATACAGGAGAAATTACTTCTTTTTTAAAAAATCACCTTTGTGTTTGTTTATGTTTATGTTTTATTAAATTTGTATACCGCCCTACTCCCGAAGGACTCAGGGCGGTGAACAGGCACAGGATAAAATACAGAAATACAAAAGTTAGAAACAATTTAAAACCAAATTAAATAATTTAGCCCACGACAATTAAAATCCCAATAATATAAAACAAATTAAAATTTCAGTTTAAAAAATTTAAAAGAAAGGGGAGAAAAATTAGGCCAAGCCGGCTTGCTGGAATAAGAGGGTCTTAAGAGCACGGCGGAAAGTGCGCAGATCCGGGATCCTCCGTATCTCCGGGGGGAGCTCATTCCAGATAGTGGGTGCCTCCACAGAGAAGGTCCTCCCCCTGGGGGCCGCCAGTCGACACTGCTTGGCTGACGGCACCCGGAGGAGCCCCTCTCTATGAGAGCGTACTGGCCGGTGGGAGGCTGTTTGTGGTAGTAGGTGGTCCCGTAAATAACCAGGTCCTAAGCCATGGAGCGCTCTAAAGGTGGTAACCAAAACCTTGAAGCGCACACGGAAGACCACCGGGAGCCAGTGCAGCTCACGCAGGAGAGGTGTCACACCATGTTGCTCCCATAACCACCCGTGCGGCCGCACTCTGTGCCTGTTGGAGCCTCCGGGTGCTCCTCAAGGGGAGCCCCATGTAGAGAGCATTACAATAGTCCAGGCGGGAGGTGACGAGGGCATGAGTGACTGTGTGTAGGGAGTCCCGATCCAGAAAGGGACGCAACTGGCGAATCAGGCGAACCTGATGAAAAATTCTCCCAGTCACGGCCGTCAAGTGCTCTTCTAAAGACAGCCGTGAATCCAGGAGGACGCCCAAGTTGCGAGCCCTCTCCATGGGGGCCAGCGATTTGCCCCAGATAGTCAGCGATGGTGTCAACTGACTATATCGGGATGTCGGAAACCACAGCCACTCGGTCTTGGATGGGTTGAGCCTGTTCCTCCCCATCCAGATCAGTGTCAGTGAAAAGTGGTATGTATGTAATGTTCTTCCTACTTTTTCCTATAACAGTAGCCCTGTAAGATGTTGGACTTTTTTCCCCATCCAAAGAAAACAAAAATTAGCTGCCAAGTAGTTGTTTAGTAGCAGAGCATAATTTTTTCACAAGAGAGGAGAAAAACTGTCAGATATAAATCTGTAAGGGTAGATTTTGCATAAATCCATTATGTATATTTAAATGGTGCTTAAATGGTGTTTACTGTACAGCTGAACATTTTTCTGCATTTAAAATTGTATTTCAAATCAAAATTTGACATAATTTTTGGGTGCAACACTGCAGAGAGATTGGACAACATTTGTCTGAAATATTATAGGGTTTTCTACTTGAGCAAGGTTTGGACTAGAAGACCTCCAAGGTGCCTTCCAACTCAGTTATTCTGTTTTTCTAGCTGAAATGTATTTCCTACCTTTGTATAATAAGCTATTTAGCACATAATTCTCTATATAACCTGAATAATAGACTTTATGCCCCAGATGTAATTCAAGCACAGAACATAGTAGAAAGATGGGGTCCCTCCTCCTATTATTCAGATCCTAGAAAACATGGAAGTTCTATCATGAATAACTTGTTAGTCACTTTGGTTCATATGAACTTGTTTATCTTCTCCTAAGTTGCATCTTATTATTGAACAGGGTTTTTTTCCCTCACAGTAACAGAGGAAATACTTGAATCCACCAAAATGAAATAAGTCATGGGGGAAGAGAAAATGAGAAAAGGATCAAAAGATTAGACTTTCACATGTCAATATTGAGAAACTCAATTGGCTAAGAATATGCTAGTTGGAACAACTGAAGACTGAAAGAAAATACACCTTCTGCAATATGGTAAATAACATCAAAAATATACACAACCCTTAACCATTCAAGATACAAGACATCAGGGGTGGGTTCTACTTACCTTTACTACTGGTTTGTAATGGGGCCACACGTGTGCTTCTGCACATGTGCAGAAGCTTCCTGATGACGTCAGGGTCGGTGGACAGAGCCTCCCGCCGGTTTTACTACCAGTTCTATAGAACCGGTTTGAAGCGGGGGCGAGCCACCACTGCAAGACATGCTGATGTGACCAGATCTATCCCTGTGGTAGATCTCCTGCACACATCAAGTGGTAGACATATTTGGCTTCAAGCAAAACACTGGTTTTTCAGTGGCATGCAATATTTAGTAATTCATGTGTAATGGAATGAGTCAAGTATTATATTGCATTATTATTGGAACCAGTTGCTGATGAACATGGGTACCCAGTACAGTTATTGTCCCAATATATCCTGACGGCACCAAGTTGGTGACAGTTGCAGTAAAATACACTTACCAGTAGATGAACATACATATTATACCAACAGTGTAACCCAGTTGAAATGCCAACATGAGATATAATTTCCAAAGAAAGCCTAAGGAAACAGAAAAATAATTTCAGATTATACGTTTAAAACAAATCAGGCAAACAAGTTTTGTTTGGAAGTTAAAAGATATGGGTGTCCTCCTGGATGCACGGCTGTCTTTAGAAGGACATATGATGGCCGTGGCCAGGGGGGCTTTTTGTCAGGTTCGCCTGATACACCAGTTGCGCCCTTTCTGGATCGGGACTCCCTACGCACGGTCACTCAAGCACTCATTACCTCTTGTCTGGACTATTGTAATGCTCTCTACATGGGGCTCCCCTTGGGGTACACCCGGGGTACACCCGGAGGCTCCAACTGGTGCAGAATGCGGCCGCGCGGGGGATTATGGGAGCGACGGGGCGCTCCCAGGTGACTCCTCTCCTGCGCGAGCTGCATTGGCTTCCGGTGGACTTCCGGGTGCGCTTCAAGGTGTTGGTGATTACCTTTAAAGCGCTTCATGGCTTAGGGCCTTCTGCCACCAATAGCCTCCCACCAGCTGGTTCGGTCCCACAGAGAGGGCCTCCTCAGGGTGCCGTTGGCCAGACAATGCCGGCTGGTGACCCCCAGGAGGAGAGCCTTCTCTGTGGTGGCACCTACCCTATGGAACAATCTACCCCCAGAGATACGAGTGATCACCGACCTCCGGACTTTTCGTCGGGCCCTAAAAACTTTCTTAGATGAAGAGCAAAAGAGTTTCTGCCGTTGTATTCTTCCTGATTATCAGCTCTTTAGTCCTGTGAGTCAACTAGGGGACAGCAAACAGGTGTAACTCACTGAGATGCATAAGAGGAATATATTGCTAAACCCATAATTTCCATTGACAATACAGAGAAACAGATAAAATATCCTTTGATTTTTTTTACTTATTTGATTACAGGTAGTCCTCGCCTTATGACCACAATTGAACCCAAAGTTTATGTTGCTAAGTGAGACATTTAAGTGAATTTTGCCCCATTTTATGATCTTTCTTATTATAGTTGTTAAATCAGTAACACGGTTGTTAAATTAATCTGTTTTCCCCATTGATTTTGCTTGGCAGGTCGCAAAAGGTGACCACATGACCCTGGGACACTGCAACCATCATAAATATAAATCAGTTGCCAAGCAATTGAATTTTGACCACGTGATCATGATCAGTGCCACAATGGTTGTGAAAAATGGTCGTAAGTCACTTTTTTCAGTGCCGTTGTCATAGTTCCGTGCAGGGGTGGGTTCTACTTACCTTTACTACCGGTTTGCAATGGGACCACACGTGAATGCTCTTCTGCGCATGCGCAGAAGCATTCTGATGACGTTGGGGTCGGTGGGCAGAGCCTCCTGCCCGTTTTACTACCAGTTCTAAAGAACCGGTCTGAACCAGGGGCAACCCACCACTGGTTCCGTGACATGTTTTGTCTAGCGGATTAAGGCACCACATTCCAATCCTTTCTAACTCCCCTCTCCCTCCCAAGAATGGCAACTAAGAAACGAAGAGAAAATAAACATGGTTTCGGCCAAAGTCATTTCGAAGTTGACAGCCGTTGCAACTTCATACAACTTTGTCAGTAAACAAATAGTTGTAAGTCCAGGACGATCTGTATTTTTTTTCTCCATAAAGAAATTGATCAACGCCGAGAACAACCAACAGCCTTTGCTGAATTCAAAATAAAATGTATCTTCTTTATTTTGGATTATATTCTTTCTTGAAAATGTTTCATAAATGAAAAAATAATGTTGATGGGATATGAATGGATTAATCTTTGCTGCCAAACAACATTACAGCTGGCAATGGACATTATTACATTTTCATTCTGGTGAAATTCCACAGGTGGATATCTGAGATTGAACATCAGTAAAGAAAATACTTTCTGTACTTCGTTGATCGATTGCCTTGTATGCTACATAGCAAAGCATGTATCACAAAGAATGAGTTACTAGGATGGCCAGATATTAGCGAATTCACTTTCTGATACTGAAAAAAATAACTGAAAAAGAAGTAGCAGTGGAAACAATGAACTCAAAGTTTGCATAGTGTAAATGTCAAGAAATGTCAAGAAACAAAAACATCTCTACTATTTTCTAAGGTCTGTAGAGTTATCCAGATCATGGTTGTCCCAAAGGTGCTTTTTTCAGGAGGCAACTGGACTTTGTTTTTCCTTTTGAAGATATTTAGCTTTTCATCCAAGAAGCTTCTTCAGCCTCTGACAGGACAGTAGGGAACAGAGGATTTATATTCCTTGCAGACAGTTGGCAATCTGCATCCTTTTAGAGGGTCATTGAAGTACATGGAAGTTTTTCTGTTCCCTCAGGGTCACCTGAGTGGTGCTCCTGGTTCCTGTAGTCTGCAATTTTTCCTCTGGAAATCCATTTCTACTCCCACACCATTCAAAGGGTGTATAGCCTTTGAAATTCTATAGCTAAAAGTCTATTTAGCTATACGTTTAGTTATACAATTTGGGATTAACACCCTTGGAATGGTGTGGGAGTAGGAATGGATTTCCAGAGGAAAAAATTGCAGACTACAGGACCATTTGCACTACTCAGGTGACCCTGAGGACACAGATAAATCTCCAAGTGCTTCAATGACCCTCTAAAAGGATGCAAAATACAGCTGTCTGCAAGGAATATAAATCCTTCCATTTCCCACTATCCTGTCAGAGCTGAAGAAGCTTCTCGAATAAGAAGCAAAATGTCTTCAAAAGAAAAAAGTCCAGTTGCCTCCTGAAAAAGCACCTTTGGGATATTCTCTAATGTGTGTGCGAGTGGGAAGGGAATGGCTTTCTAGATTTTCTATTTCCTGAAGTTCTTCCCCTTACCCTTCTTGCTGCAGTTTTCTGTTCACTTCTCATCACTAGGTAACCGAGTAAGCAGAAACGAATAGTAGTTTTAAACTTAAAGTAGATTCCACTTGGATATGAAGGAAAATCAGGAAATTATGGTAAGTACTGGGGGAGTGGGTGGGACAAATATTTTGAATTTTAAGTTTCAAATTCAAAATATCTCTTTTTAAGTTTGATAGCAATTTTGAATAGTTCAAATACAGAACAGATTTAGATTTATTTCAAATTCAGAATGTTTCAAATTCCTGCTATTTCATGAACTTAAATATGATTGTTTAGAGCCAAATGCATCCAATTCAAAGTATACCCATTATCTCTGAATAATCTTTGTTATTGTAGGTTAGACCAGGGGTGAAATCCAGCAGGTTCTGACAGGTTCTGGAGAACCAGTAGTGGAAATTTTTAGTAGTTCGGAGAACCGGCAAATATCACCTGTGGCTGGTTGCAGAGTGGGGTGGGAATGGAGATTGTGCAATATCCTTCCCCCAGGAGTGGGGAGGGAATGGGTATTTTGCAGTATCCTTCCCCTGCCACGCCCACCAAGCCACGCCCACAGAACTGGTTGTAAAAAAATTTGGATTTCACCACTGCATTAGACTCCTTAAAATGAATATTACAAAATCTTGGATAAAGTTTACCAAAATCAATTCTATTCCTGGGGATATGAATCCAAAGGGAAGAAATAAAAAGGTTTTTATCTTCAACCTGAAGTAATATACATTCTATGACCAATGACCATGTGATGAGAACCATTGACAACTTTATACCAGTTCTTTCCTACATGTTCTAGACTTGCCAGAGATTGTTGCCACTTACTTCTGCGAATGGCTCTGTCTGCAAATGGACCTGCATCTTCAATAACATTTATCATGTGTTGGCGTCTTCTGTGCGATTGTCCACGTCTTGGATGTCTGCCGTATGATGGAGAAGATCTTGTTCTTCTTACTTTTGATGGAACCCTTTCAAATTTTGATGAAGCCTCTCGAGCAATTATTTTCTCCTTACTTTGTGGTAATATATCTTGCTTTACAAATTGCTTCACTGGACTTGGGACTTCTGGAGAATCACCACCAGGATGTTGGTATTTGATGTATGTTATATCTCCACCAAAATTTGCTGGTATGTTACTTTCCATCTTGGATAATTCCATTCCAGTTATACCTTTAGATGAACACCAATAAATTCATTACAATGGTTATTGTGCTGAAACTCTTTCAATTTTGCCTTCTTCTTCTTCTTCCTACTGCTGATGAGTTATGCCTAGACTGGCACTTTCTGAGATATCTGCTAGCTGTGCCAGGCCTTCTTCCTGAGATCATATGCTTTGCGCAGTTTTCTTATGAGGTTTTGAAGCCTTCTAGGCTGGGCATGCCTCATCAACAGCAGGAGATGGAAAAGACCAGCTGGGAGAAGCAGAGGCAGTGGAGTCCTGAGTGACCAAAAGAGCACAGATGGGAAGAGATAGGCAGATGGGGGGAGTTAAGAAGGAGGTAGTTTCTTACCTTACCAATGCTGGAAAGAAGCAAGTTGGGAATCTGGGCGAGTCCTTGCCTAACAGCTGGTGAGATTCATTTAAGAAGGGCGAGGGGCATGTAAGAATTGCAATATGGTCATGTGACATCCCTTTTTACAGCTACATCATTTGGAATAGAAATTTCAGTCCCAATTACTATCATTTACCAAGAAAAAGTGCAAACTGTTTTTCTCCAAAATAATTTAGGTTAAATAAAGTATTGTTAACCAATGGGCAGATTAAGCTGTTATTTGGATTGCTTTCATCTGTTTTAAATTGTCAAGGTGAAGGTAAGAAGTGTTGGTGTTTCTTTGCTGTTTCCCTGCGGGGTTTTTACTGTCTACGAAAAAGAATTTAGGATACTTCCATGGCTGGCTTTATTTTTTTTACCTCAGGTTATAAGTATGTCCTCCTAAAACATTTCCCACCCTGTGTAGTCCATTCATTTGTTTTTACTTCCACCTTAATCAAGAAGTTAAAGCTTTCCAGGGTAGACTTTACCTTCTAAAGTCAATTCATTTTATTTTAGCTCTTTGAGGTTCTTCATTGACTCCTATACTTTCTAAAATTGAAGATTGAAATTCATTATTTTTTCATAAATTAGAAACCAGGAGGAGACAGTCTCTTCCCTGAAAGCCAGTTGAATAAGATTAAGGATGAGGGGGGTGAGGGAAATCACACTAAAGGACTAATATCTTCATACCATTATGTTTACAAGAAGACTTAGATATAATCAGGTCAAAAACAAAATATTTTACTGAACTGAACGAAACAATAGTGACCATTGAAGTGTAATGGAAAAGCTAAAGTACTCTAAAATACATGTGAAATATTAATCTAATGAAATTTCATCCCCCAAAAGTAAAGTTTTATATTTTATGATTAAAAACAATAAATAATGCTTACTTGGAGGAAAACATCTTTTTGTATCTGAAGGTAACATTTAGTACCTTTCTGGCAATATTGAAACCACAATAAGGTAAAGGTAAAGGTTCCCCTTATGTGCTAGTCGTTCCTGACTCTAGGGGGCGGTGCTCATCTCAAAGCTGAAGAGCCAGCGCTGTCCGAAGATATCTCCATGGTCATTGGCTGGCATGACTAAATGCCAAAGACACACTGAACGCTGTTACCTTCCCACCAAAGGTGGTCCTTATTTTTCTACTTGCATTTTTTATGTGCTTTTGAACTGCTAGGTTGGCAGATGGGACAAGTAATGGGAGCTCACCCTGTTACATGGCACTAGGGATTCGAACTGTTGAACTGCCAACCTTTCGATTGACAAGCTCAGCGTCTTAGCCACTAAGCCACCACATCCCTCATGAAACCACAATTCTAGTACACAAATATTGGGTACATTGGAAAGTTGTTATTAAAAAGCTAAACAATTGTGATTTTAGAAGAGCAGTTAGTGGTTTGCCATTATATAGAAATGAGAGCGTGACATAGACAAATAAGAAAAGAACAAGGAGGAATGGTTTACACTTCTACAATAGAGAAAAACTGTATCAATTAGAACAGTGAGTATCAGACTATTCCTTATTAGAGCAGCTAAACCTAAGAATTTTAGAATTTGGTATGTGCAAATTTACCATAAAAGAGGGGTGCTCAGTGCGCTTGATCTGAATGCTAAATAAACTTATAAATTCTGAATTACAGAGTTTGGTGTTTTGATCTAAGCAAGGAGCAAATTAAAAGGAAGAAATTCTTCCAAGAGATGCACACATTATAGTTGAGTGGTTGGTAAAAACTAGTTATAAATAAAACATTTAAATATTTCTTTGCCAATGACTATCAACCTTTTATTTATGCAGACCATTAAAATCCACCACACTGCAGAAGCAGTCTCCCTGTCTCATCCATAGGAAGCTGAAATGAACTTAATTTTTAATAGCAATAGCACTTAAATTTACATACCTGTTCACAAAGCTTTATAGCCCTCTCTAAGCGGTTTACAGAGTCAGCATATTGCCCTCAACAATCTGGGTCCTCATTTTACCAATCTCAAAAGGATGGAAGGCTAAGCCAACCTTGAGCCTGGTGAGATTCGAACCACCAATTGCAGTCAGCAGAAGAAGCCTGCAGTACTGCATTCTAACCACTGCGCCACCGCGGCTCTCTTAAAATAACATTTTAATGTTGTTACCTGAAATCATGTGAGATAATAAATGATCAATCCAAACCTTGAAAGATCAATGTAGACATTAACATTTTTGTCCAAATCATGCAACGTAGGATGGTCTCCCAGTATCTTTGTCATTATTCTTTGATTTAAAATGTTATTTTGGCAAGAATGTTGTCTGGCCCACTATAACCTTCCTAGTCACAGGATTTAAACTATTAATCAAAGCTTTATTTTTAGAATTAGATGCAGATTAAAACAGATCTTGGTTTCTTCAAATGTTTCTTACACTAATGCAAAATATAGCATTTTCATCAATAAGAAATGTGTTTTACATTACAAGGAGTTGCAAGTTCAGAACAAGAAGTAAAGAAAGTTCATTCAGATAATACTATGCATCAATCAAAGTTAAGATTACTTACTAAAATATAGATGGTTGCTACATTTATTTTCAAGAAGACACTATGGCAACGTGATACATAGAAGTTTCAAGCAAGAAAATTCTAAGAGCAACAGTTGGTAAAAAGAGTCTTACATGAGCCAAGGAAAAATACATGGGGGAAAGGTAATGGCCCAAAACAGCCAAAATCTGTTTCTCTTAAAACAGACCAATATATCTCTGTGCTCTGTTAGTAAAAGCTTCTATTACTAAGAACTTCAAAACTATAATTGCTTTATTTATCATGTTACTGAAAGTATTTAACCAACTGCTTATTTGTCTTTCTCTACTGGGAACTATAAAAGAGGAAGTTCAGAAGTATGGCAGACAGCCTTGGCTCGGTTGGTGACTATATTTTGCTAGCAGAACTGTACAGAACGTCAGATTCAAAGGTGAAAATGTGCTTTTACAATATCTAGAGACAGCAATGTAACACATCTCTGCATTTCCTTTGTTATGAAAAAAAAAAAAGCTTTATCATTACTACTGCAATAAAGGTGATATTGGCATTCTGACATGGCAAAATGTCATGAAGTTTAAATAACCATGTTTTTCATTTGAGCCAAAGCAATTTCCTTACAGGTGCAAAAACTAACTCAATTAAACAAAACAGTTGTATTCTGAAGACTCTAATTACAGTAAAGTTGCAAGTGTTAAGGAAAGAAGCACAACATATTTTAATGCCTAACCATAACAAGCCTTTATTGCTCATCAATGTCTTTTATTGTTTTGTTTTGTTTTTTCATTACATAAATCAAATGCACATCTGTGCTTTATATAAACACTCAACTGCCCCTTAATAAAGTTTTGCCTGAAGTACTTGTGGTTTGTATTGCCATTGTGGGGAGACATGTAAAAGCCATTTTACAAAGTTCTTTCAAATCTAAGTTTCTTCAAATGTTTCTAGGTTCTTTCCAACTTTTTCCTAGCCAGCTTTCCTAACTCTTTCCAATTCTATGGGCAACAGGAACACAGTGTGCTTTGGGCTCGTACCCCTATCAGAGAACAGGTGACAGTCAGCTTAGGCTGAATTCACCCCTCTGCCTTTGAATGAAGTGAACAACTAAGGAGTTAGGAGGAGGTAAATGCTAGCTGGTAGTTCCTTAGGAGATAACTCAAATGTAAGAAAATGGCACAATCTTGGGGAATCTGTTGAGGCTCATGATCCATTATAGGACCAAGGAAACTTATTGTGACAGCGTGAGACCTACAATAATATGGATGCTTCACCTGATGGAGAAACAGCTCTATAGGTAGTCCTTGACTTACACCCATTGTTTAGTGACTATTTATGACCGTTCTTTATATTTACAATCATTGCAGCATCCCCATGGTCACATGATCAGAATTTGGATGCTTTGCAACTGGCTCATATTTATGACAGTTGTAGGCCTTTTGTGACTTTTGACAAACAAAGTCAATGGGGAAGCCAGATTTGCTTAACAGCCGTGATATTAACTTAACAACTGTGGTGATTCATTTAAGAACTGTGGCAAGAAAGATTAAAAAATGGGGCAAAATTTATTTAACAACTGTCTTGTTTAGCAATAGAAATTTTGGGCTACTTGCGAATAGAAATCGTGGTCGTAAATTGAGGATTACCTGTAATTGGTTCTGATGGTATTCAAGAAGAAGCATATGGGCATGGGGGGGGGGGAGTCTCAGACTGCTTACTTTGTGAGAGAATGAACTAGTCTGTGAGCACTAGAATCACAAAAAGAGCATAAAAAGCATAGCTAAAAAGAGACTGATATCACCATAGGAGCAGCTGGACTCTTCCCTCAGAATTGTATAACAACCTTATTCAGAAAAATGCTTGCAGGCTTAGGATGCTGGAAAGCTCTCGGTTTAAATTAGAATGAGTAAATAGCTATATTTCTTAACAGAAAGTGACGGAGGTTTTTGGATAATATGATAAACTTGACCAGAATGGAGAACTTTTAACTGATGTATTTTATATCAAACATCCAAAAGAGTTTTTAATGTGTGTTCACCTTAATGATAAAAGTGAAAAAGATCAGTTTCCTTTTTGTGAATTAATTTTCCACTGACGCTTGTAATTTTTCCTCCTATTAATACTCTTCCAGGGTAGAGTATTAAGTAAATTGGAAAGATTAAGGCAATTATTGCAAAGTGGTAATTTGAAACATGAAAGTATTAGAAAGGTTTAGTAGACAAATAGCATACTGTGCATTACAATCAGAATAAACATCCTTTGTTTTATTTAAAAATATACAACTAATAGAGCAAATTGTTTGTTATTGCTTATCTCTCTCCTCTTGAATGGTTTGACTGAATTCTTTCTTTTTTTTTTTTTTAATTTTTGAATTTGTATACCGCCCTTCTCCCTGAGGACTCAGGGCGGTGAACAGCCAGATAAAAACATCAGATACAAATATTAAAACACATTTAAAAATATATATAGATTTGGCCCCATTAATTAAAAACGATAAGCAAAACAGAACAATTAATAAAACCCTTAAAAAGAAATTAAGCCAGCCCGGCTTGTTGAAAAAAGAAAGTTTTAAGGGCACGGCAGAAGGCACTGAGGTCATGGATTCTCCTTATCTCAGGGGGCAACTGATTCCAGAGGGTAGGTGCCCCCACAGAGAAGGCCCTCCCCCTGGGGGTCACCAGCCTGCATTGTTTGGCTGATGGCACCCCGAGGAGGCCCTCTCTGTGGGAGCGCACGGGTCGGTGGGAGGTCGTCGGTGGCAGTAGGCGGTCTCGAAGATAGCTAGGCCCTATGCCATGGAGCGCTTTAAAGGTGATAACCAACACCTTGAAGCGGACCCGGAAGACCACCGGGAGCCAGTGCAGTTCACGCAGGAGCGGTGTTACATGGGAGCGCCACGCTGCTCCCGTCACTACCTGCGCTGCTGCGTTCTGGACCAGTTGGAGCCTCCGGGTGCTCCTCAAGGGGAGCCCCATGTAGAGAGCATTGCAGTAATCAAGGCGAGAAGTCACGAGGGCATGAGTGACTGTGCACAAGGAATCCCGATCAAGAAAGGGCCGCAACTGGCGGATCAGGCGAACCTGATAAAAGGTCCCCCTGGTTACAGCCGTCAGATGTTCCTCCAAGGACAGCTGCGTATCCAGGAGGACTCCCAGATTGCGAGCCCTCTCTGTGGGGGCCAAAGACTCGCCCCCAATAGTCAGTGATGGAGTCAACTGACTATATCGGGATGCCGGGAACCACAGCCACTCAGTCTTGGAAGGGTTGAGCCTGAGCCTGTTCCTCCCCATCCAGATCCGTACAGCCTCCAGGCACTGGGACATCACTTCAAGGGCATTGTTGGGGTGGCCTGGGGTGGAGATGTACAGCTGAGTATCATCAGCGTACTGATGGTATCTCACCCCAAAGCCACGGATGATCTCGCCCAGCGGCTTCACATAAATGTTGAACAGGAGGGGCGAGAGGACCGACCCCTGAGGCACTCCACATATAAGAGGCCTCGAGGTCGACCTCTGCCCCCCTGCCAACACGAACTGTGACCGGTCGGAGAGAAAGGAGGAGAACCACCGTAACACGGTGCCCCCCATCCCCAACTCTTCCAACCGGTGCAGCATGATACCATGGTCGATGGTATCAAAAGCCGCTGAGAGGTCTAACAGGACCAGAACAGAGGAGCAACCCCTGTCCCGAGCCCTCCAGAGATCATCAACCAACGCGACCAATGCCATTTCCGTGCTGTGCCCAGGCCTGAAACCAGACTGGAACGGATCCAGATAGGATGTTTCCTCCAGGAATTGCGGGAACTGTCGCGCGACCACACTCTCAACAACCTTCGCCAGGAAGCGAAGGTTGGAGACAGGACGGTAGTTGGCCAATATTGCTGGATCCAGGGACGGCTTCTTGAGGAGAGGCCTCACCACCGCCTCCTTCAAGGCCGCGGGGAAGTAACCCTCACTCAACGAAGCGTTGATAACACCCTGGAGCCAGCCTCGTGTAACCTCCCGGGAGGCCAGTACCAACCAGGAGGGACACGGGTCCAGTAAACATGTGGCCGCACTAAGTCTCCCCAAGATCCTGTCCACATCATCGGGAGTCACAGCATCAAACTCCTCCCAGATAACATTCTCAAGACTATTCCTCGTCACCCTGCCCTGATCTACCCAGTCAGAGTCCAAGTCCCCCCGGATCTGAGCGATTTTGTCATGCAGGTATTGTCCAAAATCCTCCGCCCTGCCTTCCAAGGGATCCTCCCACGCTCCCAGATGGAGCAGGGAGCGGGTTACCCTGAACAGGGCGGCCGGACGATTTCCTGATGACGCAATAGAGGCGGAAAAGTAATTAAACTTTGCCGTCTTTATCGCCACTAGGTAGGTCTTAATATGCGACCTTACCAGTGTTCGGTCAGATTCAGCGCGACTGGCCCTCCAACTGCTCTCTAGGCGTCTTTTCCGGCGTTTCATGTCCCTCAGTTCCTCGGTGAACCAAGGAGCCGCGAGGGATCGACACCGGGTCAGAGGCCGCAAAGGCACGACTCGATCCAAGGCCCCACCAGCCGCCCGGTCCCAGGCAGCTACTAGGTCCTCGGCCGAGTCGTGTGCCAGATCATCAGGAATTGGCCCAAGCTCCGTCTGGAACCTATCAGGATCCATCAGGCGCCTGGGGCGGACCCATCTAATTGGGTCCGCCTCCCTGCGGCGAGGTGTAGCGGTACGAAGGTCCAGACGAAGGAGTGAGTGATCTGACCATGACAAGGGTTCCATATCTATATCCCCTATAACAAGATCACTCAACCACTGGCCAGAGACAAAAATCAAGTCTAGAGTGTGTCCCCCCCCGTGAGTGGGGCCATGAACTAACTGGGTCAGGTCCATGGCCGTCATGGAAGCCATGAACTCCCGAGCCATCCCAGACGTTTCACCAACGGATGGCAAGTTGAAATCACCCATGACCATAAGCCTGGGTGTATCAACTGCCACCGCGGCTATCACGTCGAGTAGCTCAGGCAGGGCTGCTGCCACGCGGCAGGGAGCCAGGTACGCAAGCAGCAAGCCCATCTGAACCCCATGACCCCATC